GGCTTTCCTTGAATTCATATTTTTTTTAGAAGAATTACATCAGTTCTCAATAATAAGATTTAATTACCTAAAGTTTATTGAGAAGTAAAGAGTAAACAATAGCAAATTTCACAGTAAAAATGATAACATATTTATTTATTATTAAAAATTTTTAATAATTAATTTTTTTTATGACTTCTTGGTAATTTTTCCTGTTGTTTTTATGTGGGACTTTTTAGTAATTAAATTTTTTTTAGGACTTTTCGATAATTCTCTGTTTTTTTTTAATAATGTGAAAACAATACAATTGGATTGGACTAGATTGTTTTTTTCTCCCCCAAGTTACATCTCAATTATCAGTTAGGGTGACTTTTTTGAACTTCTAAAATTCAATTCATTTTTATGAAATTTTCTCTGATATTTATTCCTCTCATGGGATTCTTTTTTTTGGGGAAAAAAGGTAAGCATGATTTGAGTTAGTTAATGTTAACGTGCGTGTTCAGGCCCAAAAAAAAAACAAACACACAAAGTTAACGTGCGCGAAATACTAAGACCTTGGTCATGTACTCATGTTGATCATTGACACCAATCCACCTTGGTAGTTATGCCATGTTAGGTATGCGAAAAATTACTTTTAAAAAGAAAAGATAAATGCTTTTTTATTTTCTTCTAGAGAATATTTCTCTACACCCCAAATCTACCTTTTTTATCACGAGAGGAACTGAGTATGTGCTCAGGGGTTTGTTTGCACTTCTCAGAACACGTGAATTATAGTGAGTCAACATGTTTAACGTGGGCTACCTTCACAGATTCTAACTGTAGGATAACATTAACTGATTTCTTATAGTAGCTTATATATTTAATTAAATTTGTAGAAAAAATGCCCACTTTAAAGACATACTCTGACTCATTAATTGCTTCTTTTCAATTAAAGTTGGGGGCAAATTTGGAAAAAATATTAATTTAGGGCAAATTATTGCCTTAAAACATGTTACAATTTAAAAAAGGCACGAAATTGGAAAAAAAAATAATTTAACTACCACATCTTAATTTTATATTTAAAATTAAGTAAGATTTATTAACGAGGGTTAGGTCTAACAAAAAAAATTAGTCTTTCGTGTGATGAATTAAGATTTAAATTTTTATTAGAAGAAATACTCATATATAATGTTTGACGGTGTTTCAACTAAAATCACCTTCAATAGGATGTTAATTCTTGTAAGCTAAATATGATTTCAAAATTTAAGAACTAAATTCGTATTAATCCAAAAAATTAATACCCACTTTGCCCATCAAGTTTTATACTAGCGCTGGAAAAAGTTCTAAAGAATAAAGCGGGGACCTCATGCCTTTGTGATTCTATGCAATTAATTAATTATATTAGCCTCATTCATTTTTGAGAAATTATTAGATAATTAATTGGAGGCCAAGCCAATTAAATATGAAATATTGTCTATGAAATGTTTCCCCAAACTGTCACTCCGAGAAAACCCCCAAAAATTATAAGCCAAGTGGAATCCAATGGAAGGGGAAAAACTAGATGTGAAAAAAATAATTTTTATGATATATGAAAACAAATGCACGAGAAAATTTTTATCATATAAATGTAAATTTTTTTTTTGGTGGAAAGTAGTAAAACCAAACGACAACAAAACTGGTCGTTATTAAAGCATTAAACGTCACTTATAACAGTCACATGTTAAGGAACGCAGCGAATTGATAAAAAATTTTAAATTTATTCTATCAAAATTTCCTCTCTCTCCCTTTTTATAAATTATTCTTACTTTTATCTTTTTTTTTCAATAAAAATTAAACAATAATAAAATTGAAAAATATATTATTAAATATTTTACAGGTAACTTATATTTATATTTAGTACTAAAAATTCTCTCCACAAGCACTTCTTTATTTCCTTAACATAAGATTTAGTTTATAATTTAATTTGTATTATAATTAATACAAATTAAACTATAAACTAAATATTATACTGTTAAGTACATGAGGTAAACCAAGTTAGAACAGGAAATAAAAACAGATCATAAAAAGGAACAGTGCCTGCAGGGATAGTTAGGAACACTTGGAGGAAGAAAGCATCATGGCATTTTTCAGATCGAGTAGGTTGCACAAGGAACGAGACTGGAAACCAGCGACCCAGCAACGTTGTTGTCATAAGCAGAGACACCAAGTCATTCCCAAGGCGCAGTGATAAATTAGAAGAACTAGCCATGCCACGGTTGGAAAAACCATGCCATGATGAAACTTTCGTAATCCCCATTTTTTTTTCCCACCGGCATTTTATATACTTTTTTTCTTGTCTTTATTTTTAACGTATTTCATATATATCAAGAAAAATTTTAAATTTTATTAAATTTTAATAATTTTTTAATTTTATCTCTATTTAATATACATTATACTCAATTAGAATTTAGAACAAAATTAATTAAATATTAAGTGAATGGTAAAATTTTACATTTATATAAAAGTTTTCTCTCTTTACCTTATAAATATTAAATAGGAAAAAATTGCTTCTCTCTCTATTCTATAAATATGACTAGACGAGTATAAATCATTTTTATTTTATTTTCACATTTTCATATATTAATAGATACAATAAATCAGTAAAAACTCTCATATGTGTCCTTATCAAAAAAGGGATGTTAACAAAAATACGTCGTATATTTTTTTCTCACTTATTTTCCTTATTATATTTGATAAGGTTAAAATCGAAAAAAGTCATTAATTCCCATATAAGTGATATGTGTGTGTGTAAAAGACCAGAGTGGTAACCATTAGGTTCTAGTTATTTTGTTTTCTTTCTTTATAATTTAATTTTTTGGACCAAATTCTCTATCATTTAATTTCATGTTTTTTGTTAAAAGCTAACATCGGAAAAAATTGTAACTACATTTTTCTAGTTCATTTTTTTTAAAAGCTAATCTATGCTACTGATCTCATATTAAATTTTTTAATTTTTTAATAGGAATTCCAACGATTCAAAGAGTATAACACATAGTAGTAATTAAGCATCCTCTGGACTACAAATCTAAGGAGTATGTTGGAAAAAAACATCTAAGGAATTTGAATTCAAAAGAAAATTTTCGGTTCTCAAAAACATGGCTTTAAAACTCTCAAAGATAACTTCAGAATAATTTTAAAATAGTTTCACAAGCAGCTAATGTTGGATGTATATGAACCTTATACAGACTTATCGTGAAAAATAAACTGTTTATTGGCTGTAATATCTCTCAGAACTCTTCGTATAAAGCGAGGAAGAGGTAATTAGGGTTTAAATGAAATTGTTATTGATTGAAAGAATTGACTTATTTTTGTTATGTGATTAAGTTAAAAATATAAAGTATGTAAACTTAATTTATAAGCTTTGAAGGTAAAACTTTTTGTTTATAGATCAAAGGCAAAAGTAAGCATTATAATTTCTTTTTAAAAAGGTGTTTGACTAATTCAAAAAATATTTTTAAAAAGTATTTTTTTGTAAAATGAAATAAACTCCTCTATATATCTATTTTGTATAGTGTAAGAACACTTCTAAAATCATCATCCAAATATCCTCCAAGTTTTAACTCCTTTCCCCACCATGATGACACAGACCAGCTCGTTATATAATACTCCTCCGGTCCTAATTATAAGACCCAATTGACTTATTTGAGGAGATTAAGGAAGTAATTTAAATTGGTTATTTATAATAAATAAGTGTTGTTATTCCTAAAATATCCTTGCTAATTAAGTATATTGGCTAAAACTATCATTATTAGAAGGATTATCTTGAAAAAAAATACATAAATATAAGAGAGAAAATGGATTGGGTCTTATAATTAGGACCAAATAAAAAGTCAAATTAGATCTTATAATAAGGACCGGAGGAGTATCATCATTAATGATGATATATTGATATTGATATGATATGGCTTTCGTTGGAAAAAAATTATTGATTTGGACGCCGGATCAATTTAATAATATAAATATATATAATATAATATAATATAAAACATGAATAAATCGCAGCTCGCCCGGAGACGAAGAAAAGTCAAGATTGCAGCGGCGACATCAGAAGTCTTTGTTCGTATTTGTTCAATTTCTTTCAGAAATTTTTTTTTGGTCGCTTTTGCTGTTATTCGGACACAGTCTCATAGAACGTCCTTACGCGCCTGTTTGGTTCGAGGGGAGGGAAGAGAGTGGTAGGAGAGGGGAGGGGAGGTTTCATCCTCACCTTGTTTGGTTTAATTAAAAAAGAGGGGAGAGGAGGGTATTTAATGATCCCTTATTTGGTTCAAGGAGGGGAGGGGAGGGATAGTAATAATCAATTTACCATTTTATCCTTACATATTGGTTTATGTTTTTTATTGATATATTATATAAATTAATTTACATCTTAATTTAAATCATATAATTTAATAAAAATTCAGTCTTATCATGTAAATATGTGTATTAAAAAATTGGTACAGTAATTTTTTATTCTAATTAATATAATAATATATTTAAAATAATCAAATTAACAAATTTTATATGCTCTAAGAAAAATGAAATTTTATTCTCTTTAGGCCATCTTTTTTTTTCCAGATTTAAAATATATTTAATAATAATATATTTATAAAAAACAATTAATTTTATAATATTATAATTTTTATTTAAATAATTTTTATTTTTAAATAATTTTTATAATATATTTTTAATTATAACAATGTATATATTTTTTATTTTTTTACTTAGAATAATATATTTTTTATTTGAAATAAATATTATAATAATATATTTTATGGGTAAAGTGGAATATTAAAAAAACTATAAGAGCATAATGGTCTAAAATTTTGACTTCCCTCCAAAAACCCCCAATTTAGAGGGGAGTCAAAATGGGGGAGGGAGGGGAGGGGACATTTTAGCTCCCCTCCCCTCCAAAATTTTTAACCAAACGAGAGGAGGGGCTCATTTCCCCTCCCCTCCAACCAAACACACCCTACATGTTCCCGTAAATATTTCTTTTTTAATCTTTTTAAATGTTTAACGATCGTTACGAGGAAGTCTCCTTGTGGCAGCCTATTTTTATTCCTCCCTCTTCCCCATCAAAATGGAAAGCCCAAAGGACTCCTAACTGTCAGTTTCCATTCATGTACTTTTACTTCTGTTCCCCTTCAAAAATTTCGGCAACTCTGAAATATCTCGTTGCTTGATTTCTTCGACCTCTGTTTTCTTTCTTCCTTCTCCACCGCATGGACAGGACACGCTGACGGTGGATAGAGAGAGTAAAATACAAGATCAGAGATTAAAAGCCGGTTTGATTACAATGAGCAGAAAAAGGAGCTTGCTTCTGAACTTTGAAGATGCAGCTATTGACTTCTTCAACTATCTCCACAGGGAGAAGCCCCAAATTCTCTCCTTTGTTCCTGTGATTTTTGTTGCTTGGGTTGTTGAGAGATGGGCATTCTCTTTGTCCAATTGGGTTCCTCTTGCGCTAGCTGTGTGGCTAACTATTCAGGTGCAGATTCCACTCTCTCTCTCTGTGTCTCTGCGTGTCCGCTCCTCCCTTCCTCTTTGGAAGTTCCACTTGCGTCTAATAGATTGTACTATAAAATTTTTTTAAATTTCATATGCTTTTAATTGGGTCTGTTTACATCTATTTCTGATCGTTGGCAACCATTAAACAGTGATTTCATCCGGGATTTTCATATTTGGGGAGGGGAGGTGAGGCGGAAGAGCTTTAAGCTTTGCCTTGCCCAATTTATCAGTCGAGTCACAATCATTGATTTTAGAATCCGCAGTAAATTGATTCGTCTCTTCTTTGCTTCCCCTTTTTTCTCTGCAAACAAAGTTGTCTCTCTACCATGATTTGTTTTAACAATAGCTGAACGAACTTTTATTGACTCTTTTTTTGGGGTAGAAAGAGGAGTTACATAAGTTATTGTAGCTCCAAAAGCAGGGAGCAATATTTAAGTGGGTGCTTACTAAGTCAAGAAGATTCTAAATTTATCAAGAAGTGAATAAAAACTTTGCAGCTGTTGATATTTTGGTGATGTTAAAACTATTAGGCAGTTTGGCTTTGTAGATGAGTAATGGAAGCATTATTCTTAAAGTCTGTAATTATCGGGAGAAGGAGCATTTTTTAATATAACACAGGCGATGATAACACAGGCACTTAATCTTGAGTACCTGATCTCGTGTTAGCTTTGTTAAATTGTTTAGATGACTTCAGTTGTATGGACTGTGGAGGAGCTTCTACTCAGAAGTGATATTTGTTAAATAAATGGAAATTCTAAATTCTGTTTCAGATTTTGAAGGTCTCAATTGTAACATGATACGTAAATTTATCTTTTTTGACCAATTAATATTATCAGTTGATGAAGATTTTTTTTCCTTTTAATTGCAGTACGGGAACTATCAACGAAAACAACTTGTGGAGGACTTAAATAAGAGATGGAATCGATTCGTGTGGAACAAATCGGTATCTTATCCCCTTATTACTTCCTTTTACTTTCGCGTAGAGCTTTATGAAATTGACTTCATTTCTTGTGCTTACAGTCCTCGACACCATTGGAGCACTGTGAGTGGCTTAATATACTATTGACAGAAGTTTGGTCCAACTATTTAAACCCGAAGCTTTCAACAAGGTTATCAGATATAGTTGAGGTGAAATTTCTTTCCCTTTTTAGTTACTACATTGATGATTGATGTGTATCATCATCCATTTTAAGTACTCATGTTGGTAGTTTTTTCATGGTACGGTTGTTTAGCGTATTTTCTTCCACCCATGGCTAAAGTAGGCCACATAAGAGTCTGCTTCAGTTTATTCAGAAGAAAAGAAATAGATCTTGTCCCTGTCCCTGATAAAAATAGAGGAACAAAATGTCAGGATCACAGCTTTGCGATAAAATGCTAATATTGATAATCGGTGACTCTAACTTGTTTTACACTATTTATGAACATGATCTACATTCTCTCTATTCAACACTGAGTTGATACCTTCATTTTAAATTGATAGGTGAATTAATTACCGGTTGTTTCTCTTGTGTGTGTGCAGAAACGTTTGAAGCTGCGAAAGCCTAGACTTTTAGTAAGTGACATTCATCTTCCCTTTGGGAAGAATCTCCTGTTTGTTGACCAAAGCAATTTGAACATCTAATTATGCTGAAATTTCAGTAGATGTGTATTGGACTGAAGCAATTTGTCATGTAGGAAAGAGTTGAGCTGCAGGAGTTTTCACTTGGATCAAGCCCTCCTTGCTTGGGCCTACAAGGGATGCAATGGTTAACTATTCGTGATCAGGTTATTATCTTGCTTTACATTCATGATATCACCTGCATATACAATCTTTGATATTTAATGAAGAATCCTATTTTTCTCCTCAAAACTTCTAAGCTTTGTAAATCGCATGGGAGGGAAGAATGTGTGTCTGTCTTCATCCATGACCATGACCGAGGGCTTTTTTAATATCTATTTTATACTGCAAAAGATAATTTGAGAAACAAAGGTTAAAATATTGAGGACTGTTTGAAAATTAGATGTCAAAATTCATGATTCTAAAATCTTAGAGAGGATTGATGTATAGACAAATTGAACCTCCTTTTCTACCCAATGGCATAATGTCTTAGAAGTTGATGTTGATGAAATATTTTTATACAATCCATCAAATGCCACCTTAATATTCATACTTGGAGTTCTTCTATTTCCTTACTTTGCTAGGCAGTTTTTCTTCTTCATCTTTGCTAGGGTCTAATCTTCATCCCTTTATTTATGGTATGTTCCAAGTGTCTGAGATTCTTATATTCTGTTGGTTTTTGACAGCGATTCATTAGACTGGGTTTTGATTGGGACACAAATGAAATGAGTATTTTGATGTTTGCTAAGCTTGCCAAGCCTTTGATTGGAACTGCTAGGATTGTGGTCAACAGTCTTCATATCAAGGGTGATGTAAGTGAATAACATCCTCATTTTCTCTCTGAATTTAAGTACTAGGGTTAGCCTGTCATGGAATGAAGCTTACATAAAGAAAAAGCAGGAAGCTCAAAGGCAAGCCTAATTTAGAGGTTAAGTTGATTATTAAAGCATGAAAATAGCACTTGTTTTATAACTGCCTTTAGCTTTTGGTCGCTTATATATTAGCATCATTGAGAAACTGGTTTGGTCCACTTATATCATTCTTCTAATCATTTACATCTTGCAGCTTCTCGTTACCCCAATTCTGGATGGTAAAGCACTTCTATATTCATTTATATCAGCTCCTGAGGTGGGAATAGGAGTTGCCTTTGGAAGTGGTGGAAGCCAATCACTACCTGCTACTGAGTTGCCTGGTGTTTCTTCTTGGCTGGTGTGTCTCTTTTCATACTTTTTTTTGAGAAGAATAAAAAATACATATTATTCTATGTTTGGTCTGCTAAACTGTCTTTTATTGTGCTGTTGTACAAAGTACATAAGCCTTTGGTTCAGTGTCAAATTGTTAGAAATGGCTTTGCAGAGTAGATGTTAAAGCTGATTCTTCACTTCAGTTGATTTCAGTCTGATACTCAAGTTCATGGAGATGTGTTTCCATTTGCATGCATGTTTAGTATAAGGACTGCTTGTATAATTCTTATTTGCATGCATTGAAAAATCACTCCATCGGATAAGAGAAGAGGAACATAAATTACTTTGTATTTGGGGACAATTTCCATAATGCTGATTTCTATGTCAACCTCAGATCTTTATCTGTTAAACTTACATCCTTTTCATGTTTGACCACATACGTTGACTGTAAAGTTTTAAACTAATTCTACATTCTCTTTTTATGCAGGTTAAACTTTTTACTGACACCTTGGTTAAAACAATGGTGGAACCTCGCCGCCGTTGTATTGCCTTGCCTACAGAAGACTTAAGAAAAAGGGCTGTTGGAGGCATTATATATGTTAGAGTGATTTCGGCAAATAAACTTTCTAGGAGTTGCTTCAAGGGAAGCCCTTCCAGGAGGCAACTAAATGGTGCATCCAATGGCTTTTCAGAAAACAACTCTGATGACAGGGATCTACAGACATTTGTAGAGGTAGAACTTGAGGAATTAACCAGAAGAACTGATGTGAGACTGGGTTCAACTCCTCGTTGGGATGCCACATTTAATATGGTCTTACATGATAATACAGGAATTCTTCGTTTCAATCTCCATGAGTGTCCTCCTGGCAGTGTGAAGTATGACTACCTAGCAAGTTGTGAAATCAAGGTATGGTTATTCATAGTCTCTTTTTTGATCTGGCAATTGGATGGTTGATTACAGCAATGCGAGAACAACCAGCTGCCAATAATGAGTTGTATTCTTTGACAAACAGGTTTTCATTTTCAGCCTTTTTCTCTTTTATTGTGCTAACTTAAATTGTTTATTTGATTAGATGAGGCATGTTGAAGATGATTCAACCATAATGTGGGCAATAGGACCTGGTTCTGGTATCATAGCAAAACATGCAAAGTTCTGCGGAGATGAAGTTGAAATGGTAGTCCCATTTGAGGGGGCCAATTCAGGAGAGGTGCAATATCATACTCGTGACTCATAATTTGTTTCCTTTATTTTAACTTCCAGATTTGTTTTATAATTGAGACACCTTGTTTTGAAGAAGGAGAAAAGAATATTTGGGGTGATGCTGATAATTGGTGGTGAATTAGGGATCAATTTGTCAATTAAGGCCAAGCATAGGAGCTGGGAAAGTCTAAGAAACTTTTTTAGGTAAAAGGAAGTTAGGGTTTATATATTAATTAATTAATTTCATCATCACCCCCCCTTCAAACACACAATCTTGAATCCTATATAAAGCCCTCAATTACAATAATTAGCTTGGCCTTTTTGTTGAGTACCGAATAAAGTTGACATTTATATATATGTGCACACGTGTACTTGGTGTGTAAGTCATAAAAGATAGTTTTCTCTTATTACAATTATTTTTACCTTTTGATTGCCTGTTTTATCTTTTATATACATATACATGTGTGTATATGTATTCCTATCATTAAATGGTAATTAATATATAAAATTTACAGATTAAAAATATAATGTACTAAATAATTTTACATATTACAAATTTATGTAGATACATTACTAAAGTTAGTGGATATTATTTATTTTTTCGGTTCTATTTTTCCTGACCTCTTGGTGATGAGAAAACCAAAATAGAGCGTGTTTGATTGGTTCAACGGTTTTTTTGACTGATTCAACCAGTTTTTGACCGATTTTTGGGCACCTTGGTTTTGGGAGTCAACTGTTGGAACTTTGGTGTATTAGATTCTCGTGATGGCTTAATTTACAGCGTACTCTTTTGGCTGGCATTTTTGGTGGTAAAGCTGATGTCAATGCTCTTTCAATCCCATTTTCTTTTCAGAAAAATTGATAATTGATATACCTTTTCTGAATGTAGAGAAATCCTTAGTGACTGGGATATTTTGTTCATATTATCTCTTTTCATTATGTTCTGTAGTTAAGAGTCGGCATCGTAGTGAAAGAGTGGCAATTATCTGATGGTTCACATAGCTTGAGCAACTTACGAGCTAGCTCTCAGCAATCACTTAATGGTTCATCAAATCTTCAAGTAAGAACTGGAAGAAAACTTAGCATAACTGTTGTGGAAGGAAAGGATTTTGCTGCAAAAGACAAATCTGGAAAATTTGATCCGTATGTAAAATTACAGTATGGAAAGGTGGGTGAGACCTCTATTATAACGTTGACTGCATATTTTCATTGATCTGAGACCTCTATACCACAGTTTGTATAAAGATTATTCATGAAACTTGAGTGCATAATTCTGTTTTATCTGATTCTGCTGTTAATCGTCGTTCAGATTGTCCATAGAACAAGGGCTGCTCATACTTCAAATCCTTTGTGGAACCACACCTTTGAATTTGATGAGATCGGTGATGGTGAATATCTAAAAGTAAAATGCTTTAATGAAGATACTTTCGGAGATGAAAACATCGGCAGTGCGACAGTAAATTTGGAAGGACTGGTGGAAAGGTCAATCAGGGATGTATGGATTCCTCTTGAAAGAGTTAGTTCTGGAGAATTAAGAATTCAAATAGAAGCAGTTAGGGTGGAGGATCAAGAAGGATCACGGGTATGCTTCGTCACTTGAGAATTGAGCGGTCCTTTCAACTTTTTTCACTACAGAATATCAAAAAGAAGAAAGAACACGTTGCTATGACATTTTTATATCTATATACTGTCATTTCACATCTGCAATATTCATTGTAATATATTTTTTCTTTAATGTCTTTGAGATATGCAGGGTTTAGCTTCGGGCTCAGGCAACCGTTGGCTTGAGCTTGTTCTGATTGAAGGAAGGGATCTTGTTGCTGCTGATCTCAGAGGGACAAGTGATCCCTATGTGAGGGTACATTATGGAAACCTGAAGAAAAAGACAAAGGTTATAATACTAAATCCTCATTTCTTTTCAACGAAACCGAATGATTGTAATATTTGCAATTTGATCTTTCATACATTATACATACTTATCACAGTAATGGCAGTGTATGTTTCCAATTGCCATGCTTTGCATGAATTTTCCTTCCCCCCTGAGGAATAAAATTCACCTTGTACTCTGATAAAAACAGAAACACTCTCCAGATTAGTTTTTCAGGGTTTTCTTAACTGATTTTAATTGTTCATCAAAGAATAGTTCATGTCCGCATGTCATGAGACATTTATATGATACTTTCCCTCCACCCTCCATGGGAACCATGCAAAGTCAATTGAATTGCCAAACTGATTTTGTTTGACAGGTTATACCTAGAACTCTTAACCCTAAATGGAACCAGACCTTAGAGTTTCCTGATGACGGGAGCCCCCTATTGCTATACGTTAAGGACCACAATGCTTTACTACCGACATCCAGTATTGGCGAATGTGTGGTCGAATATCAAATGTTGCCTCCAAACCAGATGGCTGACAAGTGGATACCTCTTCAAGGGGTCAAAAAGGGAGAAATCCACATCCAAATTACCAGAAAAGTCCCGGAGATGCAAAGGAGACCCAGTCTAGATGCTGAACCTTCCTTGAGTCATTTACACCAAATTCCTGCCCAGGTGAGACTTCTGCATTTTTTCCTTGATCATCACATCTGTTTCCTTATTAAATTCTTATGATATGTCCATTTTATGTCGTTTGTTCTGACTCCATTTTGATTGAACTTGGTCAGATCAAAGAGATGATGGTAAAGTTTCGATCTTTGATAGAGGACGGGAATATTGAGGGACTTTCTACAACTTTGAGTGAGCTGGAAACATTAGAGGATACGCAGGAAGCTTATATAGACCAGCTGGAGACAGAGCAAATGCTTCTTCTCAGCAAAATAAAGGAACTAGGCCAGGAGATCATTAATTCTTCTCCTTCTATGACCAGAAGATCCTCTGGAAATTGACCTTCTACTTCCTTCTAAGCAAGTTCTTTCACACGTGTAATGTTGCTTTATGGTGACTGTGGGTGGTAGATTTTGTTGTACATGTTTCAAGAGACTAGTAATTTAGTAGTGAGTCTTCTTTGAATTAGACTATAATTATTCAAATACTGTAAATGTAAAGCAACGAATTAATAAGATGATGCGTATTCCATAGATAGCTTATATAATTTTACTCAGGTTGATTGAGTAAGCTTAACATGAACTGTGTTAAATTGAAAAATACAGATAATTTTGAAATCTAAATATCAATATAAAATTTATTTAACATTATAAGTTGTAAACCATATTGCTTACTACATAACGATCGAGGCATGCAATTTGTTAATGAATAAAAATTATAGCCTATTTAACAATTCATATTTACTGTTATAAAAGTTTTCTTAGTCACCATAAAATTCGTGAACTCAATAGCAGTGAGAAATTTTTATTAGAAAATGTGTATGAGATAACTAGAATGTATGATTAAAATATTAATAAGTACTATCTCCGATCTTTAATATAAAATTTCATCTGATTTTTATTTTGATTCTAAATATAAGATCCCAATCTACTTTGTTTCTCATATTTATGTATTTTTTCCCAATGTAGTTCTTCTAATAATGATAGTTTTAAACAACACGTTTGATTAGTAAGGATGTTTTAGGAAAGACAACATCTATTTATTACAAATAACTAACTTAACTTATTTTTTTAATCTCTTTAAATTAGTTAACTAGCTCTTATAATTAAGACTGAAAGTAGTATTAACTAATGCATTGATATTATGGGGAAAATGGTTAATATTGATATATTGAATTTAAGCGGGGATAAGGAGGTCCTCATCGACAAATACAATGAAGTTTTTCTACCTTGAATTGACTATGCAATAAAACCTCAATCATTATATATTTTATATATAAGATAGAATGATTGTATTTCTATTTACTATTACTATTGCTTAAAATTGACTCGAATATTAAAAATGAAAAATTACTGTGAAGTCTACTAAAAAATTTTAATAATAAGAGAGCAGCAGAAATTTAATATTATTTTTTATTTTGTAACTCGTGATTACAAACTGTTTAATTCTCATGTGAATATGTTATTTTTATAGAAGCCCATAAGGAGAAGAAGAAACTGTCGGAAACTGATGAATAAGTAGAAAGATAATTGAGCGCCCCTTGACGTGGTCGAAATGGAGGGAAAAAAGCGTTATCGCCTTCCCAGTGTGCGAACGTGACCGCGCCAAACCAAACGTTCTCTCTGCTTCCACCCGCTATACCTCTGCTGCAATCTGCAATTTTCTCAGCGGCATGAAAATTCGACACTAACTATCAAAGCAACACATGATGAACCTTAGTTCATTTCAGTTAAAATGGAGATAACTACTGCCAAATTATCAGAATTACCTCTCAACACTTCACTTCCTTTGCCATCTCGCTCCTCCACCCTCAACTTCTTCTCCTCCCCCTCCAGATTGTCATTTCGAGTTCTCGGGCCGTTCTCTTCCCTCCGAACTACTGAGCACAGCGGCGACAGCTATTCTTATCCCTGGGATAACGAAGGCCCGAAACCCTCCCCAAAATCTAACTCCCACTCTGCCCCTTGGCTCAACAAAAGCTCCTTTACAAACTCTTCAACCCATTTACGTGACCGAAAAGCCGACAGAAGGGTTTCTGAATCCGAATTGGATGCTGATGGCCCTATAAATGAAGCTGAGCCTTGGTATTTTGATCAAGATAAAGGAAAAAATGCGATTGAGAGAATAGTTCATCGGTTGCGGAACTTAGGGTTGGGATTAGATGATGAGGCGGAGGAAGAAGAGGGAAATGAAGTGGAAGCCAGTGATGCAATGCCCGCGACTGGAAAGGAGAGACTGGGTGATTTGTTGAGGCGAGAGTGGGTTCGGCCAGATAGTATGTTGATTGAAGATGCAGGCGATGAGATGGTTTTACCATGGGATAGAGATGAGAAAGATGAAGTCGAGGAGAGCGAGCGGCGATTGAAGAAAAGGAAGGTAAAGCCGCCAACTATGGCGGAACTGACACTTGAGGAGCAGGAGTTGAGGAGGTTGAGGAGAGTAGGAATGGAAGTTAGAGATAGGATTAGTGTGCCTAAAGCTGGGCTTACGCAGGCCGTGCTGGGGAAAATTCATGATAAGTGGAAGAAGGAGGAGGTGGTGAGGCTTAAATTTCATGAGGTTCTTGCACGGGATATGAAGACGGCTCATGCGATAGTTGAGGTTTGTTGTTTATTAGATTTTCTGTCTCTCTCACTTTTACTTCTCTATTCACAGAGTAATAACATCAAAACGCTAGACGTCTTGGTCCATTTCATTTGCCGCACTTAGAACGTTACATCACTTTTAACCTTTGAAGTCATTGGAGAGTTTCCTGAATTTAACATGTCAATCTGAAAACTGTTGTTAGTGTTGTTCTTTGGCAAGACATGCTTTTTTGTTGAAGACAATAAACGTAGATCTTCAGTTTCATGTTTGACAGTAAATTTTAGGAGTTCCATATGATTATACCATGAATGTATGGATATAAAGAGCATAATAAATATATGCAGTGTATTTGAAGGAAACAAGATTTTTCTTTTTATAATTGATCAAAACCTTTGTCATTCGGTGAAGTATGCGGGGTTATATGACTATTATTAATAATTAATTTAACATATTTGTAAAAAAAATCTGTTGTTTTAAGGGTTGTCAATTTATTAGACATTGGTTTTTTCCTCCCGTGAAAAATAAATTTCTTCATATAGCCTAGATCTAGGCAAACCAATGCTTGTACTCTATGCAGGCTGTCCAGCAGCAAAAGGAAAAAAGACAGATGAGAAATCAATGTTATAGATGCATGTAAAATTCAAACTCAGTGATTAAGTAGTTTGAAAACCACAACTGCTCTGGACATTATTATACGTATTCTATTATAATGAGAAATATGGAAAACAGTATCGTGTTTTTATTTGTCGAGTTGTAAAATGTGGCTACTCTATAGTTTATACTAATATATTCTTCACAAACCTTTTGGTTTTTGTCAAATAAATGCCTTACATTAGAAGCTTTTGACTTTTCAAATGATGTATTCCGAGATCACATGTTGCACTAAGTATATTGGTGTAATGTAACTGATTTCTTGGTTTCTTGCCAAAGCTTTGTGTGTCAGGTCCGTTGTCATTACTTCTATGATTGACCGTAGAGCAGAGCAAAATACATACGTTCTATTTATGAGACATTTATTGGGAAACAGATGTAGGAACTCACTTCTTGTAATATTGGCCAGCGTCGAACTAAAGGATTGGTGATATGGAGGTCTGGAAGTCTTATGATGGTATACCGTGGTTGTAATTATGAAGAGCCCACATCTAGGTGCCAATACAATGAAAGTGAAGGTGACGGCCTTTTTGCACCAGATGTGTCTCCTAGCAATTTATTAAAAGCAGATGATGGCAATGCAACCTCGTGGCTGGAAAAGAGTAACCTAGTTGTAACGAATCAAGTATGGCCTGAAAACATGACAGCAGAGGAGGCGGAATACAATCACCTGATTGATGGTTTGGGTCCGCGTTTTGTTGAGTGGTGGGGCACAGGAATACTCCCTGTTGATGCTGATTTACTTCCTCCTACGGTTCCTGGTTATAAAACACCTTTTAGGCTTCTTCCTGCTGGAATGCGTCCTCGACTAACCAATGCAGGGCTCACTAATTTACGGAAACTTGCCAAATCACTCCCTTGTCATTTTGCATTAGGTATTATTAATTTGCTACATATTTTATTAAATTTGCATAGACGCTTATGATCAACATCTTTTGCTGATGATTATAAAGGGCGAAATCGAAATCTTCAAGGTCTGGCATGTGCTATTCTTAAACTTTGGGAGAAAAGCTTAGTGGTGAAGATTGCTGTCAAACGTGGGATCCAGAATACAAACAATAAGCTTATGGCGGACGAGCTCAAGGTTTCCTCTCTGTGATTTCCTGTGATATGGGATACTAATTGTGCAACTGTGCTTGTATCAAGCAAAAGCCGTTGCAATCTGGACAAAGTACTTACTGTTGAAATAAAAATTTCTGATAGACTACAAAGCCAGTATAATCAAGTTGTAGGATAAGTGACTGAAATATCAGAATAAAGTAATTGATATGTCCGAGGCCCCTTTATTGATTTCCTTGCACATAAAATTTAGGTGTACACTACATCTTGTATTTTTCCTGTTATAATTCAATTATCCATTAAAGCGTTTGTCTATGGAATAATATCACGAGAACAGGGTTTTGTTCCTTTTTTTTTTTTTTTTGCTAGAAGGTTTTTGTTCCATTATCATATCATCAGCTTTTATTAATGTAAGAAAACAATAATTATGAGAAGGTGATTATAGATTTGAGGAACTGATATGCTTTCTTCGTATTTCATTTGTCCCCAAACTACATTACCAAGACTAAAACCTTTATTTTTGTTATTTGAGGATAAATCTCTATCATAATGAAGACTTTGATATGCATTTTTTAGGATGAACCTGTTATGTAAATTACATAAATAGTCAATTGTTAGTTATGATTTGTTTTCTGTTAGTTAGTTATGTTTTACTAGCCATTAGTGGAGTAGGTAGAAGACTACAACTATAAATAGGGCCCACCTAATTCATTTGTACCTGTTGAGTAATGCTCAGTGGAGTGCATATTCAATACCCTATCCGTCTGTTTCTCCTTCTCTTGATTCCCCTCCTGTTATCCCTCTCTTTTCTCTGTCTTTCCCTTTCTTTCTCTATTTCCATACCAGAATCTATATAATTCGTATTGCGCAAAAAAAAAAAAAAAAAAAAAAAGAGAATCCATGTAATTTGATGGAAGGGAGACCTGTGATTTGCTGTTTAATTACTGACAGATGATTTGCCAAGCTTAATGAGTAAAGCATCAATTCTGTTGATTCAACTATGTTTTGATTTTCTTTTATGGCCCCAGAATTTAACAGGAGGAATGTTGCTGCTAAGGAATAAATATTACATCGTACTATATCGTGGGAAGGACTTTGTTCCAACAAGCGTGGCTGCAGTTTTGGCTGAAAGACAGAAATTGGTTAATCAGGTGCAGGATGTTGAGGCGAAGGTGAGGTGTAAATCTGTTGATGAAATTCCATCAGGGGAAGATGCAGCAATAACAAAAGCTGGATCATTGGCTGAGTTCTACGAGGCTCAGGCACGTTGGGGAAGGGATGTATCTGCTGAAGAACATGAGAAGATGATGGAAGAAGCAGCCAAAGCCAAGAATATAAAGCTTGTCAAAAAAATGGAACACAAACTAGCCGTTGTAAGTGTCAACTTATTTTATCAAGTTTGTACTTCAAGAATGCATTGGGAGATATAAGCATAGATGATAGATGTGGAGTTAGGTGTCTGTTTGGAATTCTTACGTGGTGAAAATATAAGTCCAATTAACTTATTGTTCCTCAATAAATGGTGTTGTTTTAGGCTTTGTTGACTTGTAACGTTAAGAGTTTCAATTTGGACTTTTAACTCTTCTAAATCTAGCAATGCTGGCTGTATCTATTTTATATTTTCGAAATACAGGCTTATAGATCACAAGCTGTATGGGCAGAAACGTTTAAGCTGAGTTAAATTATATTTGTATAGCAACATTTAATTTCGTTTTTGCTCATTTGCCGCTCTAAATGCATGGACAGGCACAGGCCAAAAAACTTAGAGCAGAAAGGTTATTAGCTAAAATAGAAGCGTCCATGGTTCCAGCTGGTCCTGATTATGACCAGGAAACAATCACAGATGAAGAACGTGTGATGTTTCGCAGGGTTGGTTTAAGAATGAAGCCATACTTGCCGCTTGGTGGGTACTTTTCAGCTCTATTAAATTTTCCATTTCCCATCATTGCAATACTAACATTTCGTTCACCATAATTTCCAGGCATACGTGGTGTTTTTGATGGTGTCATTGAGAATATGCATTTGCATTGGAAGCATCGAGAACTAGTAAAATTGATAACGAAACAGAAGACCCTTGCTTTTGTCGAAGACACAGCAAGGTTACTGGAATATGAGAGTGGAGGAATACTTGTGGCCATAGAAAGAGTTCATAAAGGATTTACTCTTATATACTATCGAGGAAAAAATTATAGACGGCCAGTTGCTTTGAGGCCTAGAAATCTTCTAACCAAGGCAAAGGCATTGAAGCGTTCGGTAGCCATGCAACGCCATGAGGTTCCAACTTTGCATTGACAATTATTAATCTAATCATCTTTTATGTATGTGCAATGTTACATTTGATCTAGTATTTACCGTGCAGGCTCTCAGTCAGCATATAACTGAATTGGAGAAAACTATAGAACAGATGAACAGAAAACTTGTAAGTCTGTAACTTATATAATTTTTTTTTTTGGTGCCGTTTCATGTTATTTCTGTTTTTCCGGTTTAAAGATTTTTGCTTCCAACAATTTGTACTTTCATCTATTTCTTATTTGACGTATTCTTTATTAAAAAAAAAAAAGGTTATAATCCGTCAAGTTTTCTTTATCTTAAATTAAAAATAAAATAACTGGGTGCACTTTCAGTAAAATGTTACATAAGCATCATTTGAGAATAATGACACACCAGCCTCACCAGACAGTTTGGGTTTCATGTATTTTGGGGCTTGAGTGTTTTTAATCAGCCTTTGCAATTTAAATTTGAAAGATTTCTTCCCTCCATGGTGAGTCCGAAAAATGATCTTTATCTCAAGCAACTGAGTCTTTTGTACGCCAACATCCCATTTTGTGAAGTTCGGCAAACCTCTAATTTTGAACGTGGGAATGCTTCTACTTATTTTGCAAAATTGACAGGGTTCAACTACAAGAATTTTTTTTTTTAAAAAAAAATTATTATATAGTTTACTACATTTTTGTCTAACATTTCATTGACGCTTTCTCTCTGCTCATTAGCGTGTGATAATAATACTTATTCTTGGCATATACCTTAATCACTAGCAGGGTTTCTCATCTGTATCTACATGAACTAATCTTAATTTTTATTTTCGATGATTTTTAGGTTGTGTCTCATGGTTTAGAGCTTGATCAGATCTCAGACTTCACCCTTGTATGATACTGTTTTTCCCTTCTCCTCACTCCGGTCTGCTTGCTTTGGTGAAAATATATTTGAAGTCCTGGTTGTAACCTTAGTTTCCTGCTTGTCATTTGTCATCTGGGAGGGGGGGGGGGGTGGAGCTGCTTGGATAAAGGGGGTTGTTGGAAGAGCGTTGAAAGAACAAATTACAAAAATGTTTTGAGTACAATATGTTCCCCCCTTAATTTATCCCATTGTTGTTTGCAGAGTGAGCATGAAGATTCTGATGGCTATGATAATGTTGGGGGTTTTGATAAGGAAGATACTATTTGAGAGGATGATGAAAATTCTGAATATCCAAGCTTCAAACTTATGAAGGCAGTTTAACACATTTGCACTAAAATTTTGATTTCTTCTGTGGACTGCACCTTTGATTGCCTGCTACATATTAGGTATCAACCTTGCTATATGAATGCTTCACTCAGAAGTTCATGACTAGGATTTTCACATGCTGCATTTGAGTTTAATGGTTGCGTTTCTTTCCCTAATATTATGCTTTCCCGAAGTTTTGTAGTTTTCTTCCGTGGCATAACACAGTGACTAAATAAACAATGCCCAAAGTTGCAGTGCTGCATACAAAGAATTGAATACACTTGATAACAGACAGCATCTCTGATAATGAGATTTGACTTTTCGGAAAATGTTAGGAATAAATTCTGAACAAACTTTTCTATCAAAGAAAAAAGAACTGAATACACATTGGCGTATTTGATGACAAATACCTAAAAGCTGTAGTTTTTTTTTTTCCCCAGTCCAGTGTATGCTATGCCCAACGTAGATAGATTCAACAGTTCGCTACACTTCCTTGTGATCTTATTGTTCAAGCAAATTGACCCTTGCAATTCATGTTATAAATCCATCGCCTATTCTACGTAGGATTCAATTTTAGTTTCTTTAGCTTCAAGAGTTTTGCAGCCAAACGTAAGCATGGGATGAGATGTGCGTGAGTCTCAGAATTCATTGTTGATTTTTTTTTTTTCCCCAGTAGTACTTTTTAGTTTCTTTGAAAGTTTGATTCAAGTAGATTATTTCCATATCAATGCATGAATTGATAAAATTTTAGACAGCAAAATACAAACGGACAAGCAAATAACCGTAGATTGCTATCCAAGCACTGAACATAAAGTACTTGATGTTGGACGGATTTTCCTGTCTTTTGTAACCCACTAATAAATACATAAACTGATACTTTGTAATGGTTTGTTTTGCAGCAAACTCTTCTGATAGGGTGATCAATGTGAGTTTTGTTTGCTGCTATGCTTGTCAAGCCAAGATATGATATCATCAAGCACGCTGGATATAGTCTCATCAGGTTCACCTTCAAGTAGATCATGGTAAGCATTCTTGTAGAGGCGGAACTTCTTGTCCTGAACTCTGGCTTTTTCATATAAGGCCTTGCTAGCTGACGGATCAGTTATCATGTCAGACTCTCCATGCATGATCAACAATGGCAGAGAGACCTAGCAATAAGAATTATTTAAGTTCCACTAGAAACATGAACAAAGAAGCTACTAATGATATCCTGTCCCACGCCGGATGCACAAACTGAACAGATTTTTGTTTCTTTGGTTTGGCCCCTGGGGAGGGGGACTTGTTCTGTTCGTATCCTTTCAGAATCCTTAGTTGTCTTTTAATATCTGACGAATTGTATGTTCATATCGAGGAAGAAAGACAATTAAAAATTGTTAAGAAGGAATTAGATGGGGAAGTTTACCTCTTCCAATCGTTGTTCTATCTCCTGTGTGGCTTTAAGCAACTCAAGTGCAGATCCTAGTCTTGGTTTATCCTTGTAGAGTAATACATTATATGGTGCCTGACGCAAACCAGTCAAAATTATTGTACAAGAACGACAGAAAAACTAAGAGGAGCAAGCAACACAAAAAAAATTAATAGCAAAAAGACAAACATGGATACTTTTCTGCATTTTTGGTATAACTCTTTAAGTTAAGCACATCCTAATGTATTTATTCCCAACTCATAAGCGCCAACACGTACCAGTTTTCTCTTGTTCTTATCTCTAAATATATTCTCTTTCACCTCTTCCTTTTGTGGAACTAGCTTAGTTTTGGGGAAAACTTTGGCAACACCAATAAGTATCTGCTTCAACAACCAGTGCGGAAGCATATCTTCTGCAAACTACTCAAGAACACTGGTTAATAAAAGGTGAAGAAGTAAAAATCTTCATCCTGCTTGAAATTCTTGGAGATACCTTGCAGAGAGGTGCGATGAGAGCAGCACCATCCCATCCAGTAGGTTGTTTGAAGTGCAGCTTCAGAGCAACGGCTCCTCCCATGGACTCACCTAACAAGAAGCTAGGCAAGTTTTTATATTCCGCTTGCTCTGTCATGCATACCCACCAGAAGTAAGTAGAGAGATTGATTTAGAAGTACAGGGAAGACAAAAAAATACTATAAAACAGATTCAGTAATCTGATTTCTTGATAAACCAATGGCTAGGAAGTCTCCCATGAAAAGACATGTAGGCTACTGTCTAACACAACTAAAAAGCCTAAACAAAGCAAATCATTATCATGCATATGGACAACCAATGTACGAAATGATGAAATGAAAAATCAATCTTACCCTTAATTCTGGAGAAATGCTCATTGACATCGTCAACCAGATCGTCAAAGTTAGGAATATAGCCATGAAGACCTTCTGAGAGACCGAAACCGGGGTAATCCATTGCAAATACTCCATATTCTGATGATGCTAACTTCCTCGCAACTCCTAGCATACAAGATAGAATGAAAACCCAATTATTTACTTTCCATGATATACAAACTAAGATTGGAAGAGCGAGGCTAAATTCGTGCCTTCAAAGAAAAACGTGCAAGTGTCTCCATAACCATGACAGTAACAGACAATTCCTTTCAAAGGAGCTCTTTCTGGAAGCCAACTCTTGGAGAATATTTCTAATCCTCTGGAGTTCACTTCATAAACCTGCACGCAAATAATTGAAATGATTTAACAAATATCAAGTACTTCCATGACACCATCAGCTAGAGAATGCAGAATTGAGAGAACATTATTTTGGCTTAGGAGCGACGCTACATCTCATGCCTCTACATTTTCAACACTAGGTGACCGCGATGCTCCTTTCGGTATCTAACCTGAGTATGACTATTTGACCATGAACCTCACCAGAGTACGATTCAGACTTGCTGAAAGAAATGAAAAAAGTTATATAAATGTTTATGTGACGCAGAGCTCTCCGAATCAATATATCATATAAAGAATCCTCTTCCTCTTGCATTGTAGTTTTGTGGCAAATTTACTATTCATATCTGATTTTGCAATTTTTTTGCGCCCCCTGGCCTTTTCCCCCCCTTTTTTTTTTTTTTTTTTTCCTTTTGCATTTGGCTGACCCCTCTGCCTTTTCAACCATGATGTAGAGGACTGTTCTAGTTCTAGTACAACAACAATAATAATTTCTTGTATTTTTATGTTTGGCACGAACATATCTTGAAATAAAAGATATTTCACTTTATTAAAATTAAAATATACACATCAGTAAGCGAAAGATATTTTAATTAATAAAAAAAAACTGGACTAAAATTGTATAATAAGTATAATTTATTGGTATGATTACTGTTATGTCACATATTCGTTGATTTCTGAAAGTTTGATGGAAATGTGAAGAGAAATAGTGGCGATAACAAGAGTATATATATTAAAAATATATATATAATCTCTTGTTTCTGAAAATATGTACAAAACTTCTGATTTCTTTACCTCTTTCGTCTTCACACCATCTGCCGGCAACTGCAATAAATTAAGAAATAAAGAAGAACTATAAATATCCTGTGTTTTACATTCTATCAATATCAGCAAATAAACCCTATTGTAAATCACATCATTTATTAGTGATCAACAACATGATTTACCTGAAGTTTTGTAGAACATATTGAAAAATGTATTATTAAAACTTAAAATATTTAAAAAAAAAAAACCTGCATTGTTTACGAGTCATAAACATTAAATACTACAACCCATCTTAAATTTCATGTACTGCAGTTAAACATAAATATGATTGTTTTCGATCATTTTAGTGACTCACACAAAAGAAAAATGAAAAAGCTGAGTATATTCCAGGTTTTGGAAGAAGTACCCGAAATAAACAGTGATCAAGGGCTAACTGAATATGCTTAAAAGCTTCACGAGCTCGACGCCTCGCAGGTGCTTCATCCAAGTTGGAACGCAAAATGCTTTGAAGGTCTTCACTCATTTCTCGTATTACTGCTTCAGCGCTTTGTTCCATTTCTCTCTGCTTTTCTGAGAGATGTGAGAGTGAAAGAGAAAGCACAAGTTAGAACAGAGTGAGTAGAGTTCAGTTAGAACTTAAAAAGAGAGTCTCCAAAAGAAGCGGGGAGGGTAACTGAAGAGAACAGGGGGTGGCAGAGGATTGGTTGATGGATTAAATAGTTAGGAGGGCATAGTTAATACTTCCTCACCTCCTCATTTATGTCTCTCTGCCTGCCTTTGAATTCCTTCGTATTTACTCTTTCCGGTTCAAAATATAAATTTATATTTGCTCTTTCTGGTTCAAAATATAAACTAAATTTTATCTATTATGTTTACGGAGAAACCAATTAAAATCAATTTAAAACAGTAAATGTGTAAGGTATATATTTATTTTTTCTAATATACCCTTATTAATAAAGAAAACAAATAAAAGATGTAATAAATAAATTAAAGAAAAGAGAGAATATATGGGGTAAAATTGGAAAAATCTCATTAAATGTTTAGATAAAAATGAATATTATCTTATAAAAAAAATGACTCTTTTAAAAAAGTTTAGCTTATATTTTGAATAGGAGGGAGTAGTACTTTTTATTTTACCTTTCTGATCAGAATTTACCTTATATTTTTAGTAATTTATATTTTGAAACTTGAAACATCTTTTAGATTTTCTTGGCTTCTTTTTTTTAAATTTGATTTTTGAAAAGCTACTACCTGAGGCTAATTTTGATGGCATAGATGGAGGTGAGGTAAGATGAGAGTAAAGATTCCAGTCCTCTTGATATAATTGGAAAAACATTATTTTTGAATAAGGACTTAATCATTAGTAGATTTTGTTCATCATCTGTCAAAGATAATATTTTTAATTTAATCTCTTAAATACATCAAATAAAATAGTTTATCTTTAACTCAAGTTGTTAGTAAGGAGGCCTATGTCGGTGGGCATTAACTTTGAGCCGTCCTATTAATTCATTTGAAAACTTCTCAGACTTTTCCCTGGGACCTAATCATTTTAAGGGTGGCTTAGCTTGTAACATTGGTCTAAATGACTAGTCAATGATCACATAGATTTTCTTCTATTAATGTGAATCTGTCTGATGGAAATATTGGCAAACACTTGAAATTCCTGTGCGTCATGACAGAACTTTCTACCACTACTACAAGCCTTATGAGAAGGCTTTGTGGAAGCTCAGTTTAGAAGGGGAAATATTTGAATCTTGCTGGCATAACGATTCTTCTTAAATCTATGGCTTCTTCTTTGCCATTTTACTACATGCAAACTGCGCTCCTCCCTAAGAAAGTGATAAATGAGATTGATGAAACTAGCAGAAATTTCTTATGGAAAAGTACTGAAGAAGAAAGGAAAATTCGCCTAGTTTCTTGGAAAGATGTGCGGAAACGATAAAGCCAAGTGTAGTCTAGGGATCAAAGCTGTGCTGGAATATGATGACCTGCAAAGATGCTGGTTTGGGTCCAAGTTTTACTGTCTAATACAACTGCGGTGACAAAGACTGTAGTGCGAGACTGTATCTGTTGGGAGCACAACATTAAATCACAACTGTGGGAGGAGTTCATCAATGCGGATTCAGCAAAGCTTGGATGAAATGGAATACAAAAAAGGAAACGGGTAAAAACTTCGCCTAGAAGCTTCCTTAGATTGTTCCTTTTTCATATATGTGCTGGAACCTACAGACTATTAGGTGCCAAAAAAAATCTTTGATAATGAAGTTACTGCAACAATTATGGAACCTACAGTCTAAGAGGATGTTTGGATGAAAGCCAAACTATAATTTTAAAAGTATTTTTACAGATTATAAAGTAAATATATAAAAAAGTATGTTTTGTTTTACGAAAAAATGCTTTTGAAAACCACTTTTTTATTTTGCTAAACACGACTTTAAATGTGTGACGAAAACTAACAAGAATAATCAGTTTTTGGGCAAAATGAATCAGCAGAAAAGGGATAAATGCCGATCAATATGAGTGGTTGTAATCCACTAAAGGATGTTTCAGATACCCTCCGACTGTAGCTGAAATTCTGGGATTTGCCAAAGGATTTGGATTGTGTTTGTCGCGGAAATTTTGATGTGTGAAAATGTACTGCGCCTCTGCGGAAGCCATAAATCTTATCCCCGGAGATCTCATCACTACATACAAGATGCCTCTAGTATGATCAATAGGAATTGGAATGTCTCCATTAATTTTGCATATAGAGAGATGTAATTACGATTGCCAATTGTTTAGCTAGAAAAGCTCATGACCTTGATTAGTACTTTTTGTGTTTTTATTATTGCGCACCTTTTGTATCATAGGAGGTGAATGATGAAGGTTTTATTGCGGGAAAATTACAATGAGATTTGAAGTAAGAAAAACAAATAAAAAACAAGTCCCAGAAGTTGTTATTCTCATTATAAGACTTGTTATTATAGGCCGTTAAGGTTATTATTGAGACTTTTTGATAATTATTTTTCTTATATGGGATTTGATTGTAATTTTTCTTTTTATTATGCTGTCTTCTTGTTTTTCTTTTTCTTTTTGTGAATTATAGTTTCTCATTTTTAACCTTAAGAATATTAAACTACTGATTTATTATTACTTTTTAAAATTATTTTAGTCATCCAAAATATTTGCTTTTAATATCTTCACATTTAACCTCTTAGTAAATGCGCGTCCTGTCAGTTAAAGATAAAGCTTGTGAAGCGTATAATTGCTCGAACCTGTCATATGGGCCATCGTGTTACTTGAAATAAGGGGAAATTACAATCAAGCCTCACAGAAAAGAAATAATTACTAAATAGTCCTAATAACAACCTCAACAGTCTATAACGATAAGTTTTGTAATGAGAATGACAATTTCTGAGACTTGTTTTTCAATTATTTTACTTGTTTGGAATCTCATTGTAATTCTCTCTTAAAATAATTAAGACAAATAAATTAGGGTGATGCAAGAGGTTGCTCAAGTTTTCTTTGCTTTTTTTTAAAAATAAAATATTGATTTCTATAATTTTTTTAAAAAGATTATTTTATCTTTTGAAAAACTAAAATCAAAATTCATGCAAGCTTAAGATATCAAGGATTATATTAACCCAATAAATTATTTCAATTCTCTATGAAGATATAGTTTAATAATAAATGAACATTTGATGAACATCTTAATTTCATGTTAAATCTTATTATCTTCAGTAGTTAATATAAAAGTTAGTTGAAGATTAAATTTAGTCCTAAATATAAATTTACAATTCACTATATCTTTAATATTTATCTATTTTTTTATAAATAATTCTTATAATAATTACACATGTTAAAAAATTTTCATTAATGAGTATTTTCAATGCACCATTAATAAGGGTATTTCAGACAATGTTTATTTATCATAAGTAACTAATTTAACTAATTTGTTTAATATATGCAAATTTAGATGTCTTATATTATAGATTGGAGATGGTAACATTTATATTACCTAACAAGTTTAATGCAAGAAATAAATTGAAGATGAAATACTCTTTAAAAGACTAGAGACATATGAAAATCCAAAAGCAATTAAATCCAGACTTGATGATGGGCATTTTTTCTTTAAATTATTCTCTTAAAAGCATTAGGTATCCTAAACTACTAAGAGATGTAATTTGTTTTTTGGTCAAATTTCAAGAAATGATGCAATGTTCCTTTGCGGCTAAGGGGGGTTATTTTTTGATGTTAAAAAGTTTTGTCTGATTGAAAAACTACACCCCGTTTGGTACGTGGAAGAGTGGAACACGGGTGGAGATATGAAAATAGTGAGAAAACCTCAAAAGGAATAAATAAATATAAATGAGCTTTGCAACATTTGCCCCGTGCTTGGCTAAAATACACCATGACAGACACTTTACTTTAATGCATTATTATAATTTCCTATTTTTCTTCCACGTCAGACATGGCATTATCTTTCATTGAGCTGGTCCTCCAATCAGAGATGAAAGCATCCAAAATAGTGGGTCATATTTACTTACTGAGTATTGACAGCTTCACAAAAATGGAAGCAAAATCATTAATTAGAACTCACTTAGCAAGACGTCGTGCTATAAAAGCTCAGTTCTTGAATATTTGACCAGAGCATGCATGTGCAGATCATTTTTTTTAAGTAGGCAGTAGGCACTGCCATAAAGCATTCTGGTTCCTCTCTGTCCATCCGCGCCACAGCAAGTCAAATAAAAAATTCCCAATCCACTACCCAGCCTTCATAGGCGGTGTGCAGTTACGGATTAAATACATCACATTTTTTCATTTCACCTATCTATCAAATCCCTTGAAGGAAAATCAGGCTACCCAACTGCCACTACATGATACTAATATTATAAAATAAATAAATAAATAAAGGCCCCAAAATTCATCCAGTGCAGACAAATCAATTTATAGACAAATTGAAGTCCAATATGTCACAACTTGAACGGAGTCGGCTCACGTAGCAACCCTTCATCACAGCCCCTCAGTTCGAATTTTGATGCACCCATTCTCTGCCCGCAAGTATGGTTGGATTGGAAGATCAGCGCCCCAAATAATCCTGCAACTGATGTATCTTGGAACATTTGTTGCTTTCTTTGGTATATAGCTTTGTTTGTTTCATTGACGCAACATTTGTTGCAGCTGTAGCACTTGATTCCTCTGCTCCGGAGGCAGGAGATTTATCTGCTCTGGTGTGAGGCTCATAACCTGCTGAAGTAGTGCCTTCTCCATCTCAGGTGTCAACTGCAAAACGTGCACATGACAAAAAAAAAATCAATAGATAGCACATAATCATTCAAAATAATTGTTGATTAATACACATACGGAAGGGGGCCTAAGAGGCTGATTGCCAACGCCCATCTGGCCAGGAAGTAATGACGGAGGTGCCGGAGGACCAGAAAGCTGTGTCATGTTTTCCGAGAGACCAGGTATCCTAGAAGTCCCTCTATCAACTGGCACCGCAATTCCAGCTCCCCCAACCTGACAAACAAGCATCAATTGACAAATGAATCACCAACAATTTTAAAACATGGTTAGGTATAGAGACATCATAACTGACACTGCTACTGAGGAAAGTTTGCTTAGGTTTGCTGTATTGTGAACTTAAAACTACCAAAATCAACTAGGGTCTCTAGTAATGTTCAAATGCTCGCATGGAAATAAATCAGCAAAACTGAATCTGAAAGACAACAAACAAATGTGATATTTAGTTGAGGGAATCATATGGCATATCCATCTTTGGATATTCTTAAAATTTGTCAGAACTCGAATACCTTTTGTCAAGTCATTTGCAGGGAAGAAATTAAAAACCTTAAAAAACAAAAATAACAATGAAAACCCCAGGGGAGAAGGGAGGGGGGAGGGAAGGGGCTGGGGAAGGAAAAACTTTGTCCGAAAAAAATTTAGCAGCCTAATGAAGAGTAGCCAAACCGCTTTCTCTACGAACTATTCGAAATTGAAGTGAAATAATTTCAAATTATCCTAGAAAATACGATGGAAGATGCCCTCTATTATTTTTTCCCCAGTTCCCGCCTTCTATTAACTGTTCTCATTCCTTTCACCTTTCCCCAGTTACATGTCAAGAGGATGTTCTCTCTATGGAATAAATAACACCTCCAACTTTGTCCGCAAGAGCACCATAATCATTAACAGATATCTTAATGTCTAACAAGGATAAATTAAACAACTTAATAGACCAGCCAAAACACATTCAAGTTGGACACAATAACGAATAAAGAAGGGTCATAATGGCACCTACAAAAGCCCTATAAAGCCAAGAATTCAAGCAGCCATCTAGCCTAATTATCCCTGAACTCAAAAATGCTAACAAATAGTCTCAGGATGAAGTCAAGCATACTTGATAAGGTGACTGGGTAGCTGGTTGACTCGGAACTGGAGTCAGGCCCTGTGGGAATGATAGGCCAACACTTGCTGGCTTTGCACCTGGCTGAGAATTTGAAAGCAACCATATTTTTAGAATTTAAAATGCTATTATATCATAAATACTAAATTGAAATACTCAACAGACTTACATGAAAGATGGGTTGCGGAAGATTGTGAGGACCACTGGCATGAGGAAAACCTATATTGGCACCCATTTGTGGGGGATACTGGTGATGAAAATTGGGTCCTGAAGGTGGTCTGGGCTGTGATTGCATTGGTGGTTGCAGCGGCATATGTGGAAATCCAGGTGCCTGCAGTGGTTGCTGCAATTGAGTGGAGGCATTAGGGATTTGGGTTTGATGGGGCTGTGAAGATGAATGAAGAGAGGATGGAGGTACATTAGGAAGTTGTGATGATTGTGGAAGAGACACATGGGCCATTTGGGGAGTCAGATGTCCTTTAGGTTGCTGTGGCACCTGCAAAGAATGTGCGGGCATGGGCTGAGATTGATGACTTGCTGAAGGGATAGCAGCAGATGAGATAGGAACCGGAGGTTGGTTTTGGTGTTTCCTGGGAAGAATTTGGTTTTGTGATACACTTGCTTGATCATGTAGACCACCGTGCCCAGGCAAAAACGGAGCAGGCTGAATGTTTGGTTGTTGCGTCAACTGTACTGGCTGCTGAGCGCTCTGTGAGACTGTTGGCTGAATTTTTGGAATCTAGAAACAAAAAATAGATCATATAGACATATTCCCAATCGAAGTTTGTGAAGATAATGATGTTTTATGTTTATGAAGTCAAAAGCATACCGCTGAAGGGGGCTGCACCATTCCGAGCATAATTTGTGCCTGATTAAATAAAAGCAAATCAGAAAAAATGGGGTTCGAAATAAAGGCACTACCAAGGGAGATCCATCTGTGTCCCCACAGAGGAAAAAAAGACTGAAATTAATGCCCCAAAAAAAGGCACTCACCTTGGTGAAGCAAAGCACAATAGGAAAAAAAATGAAACTTTATGGTCTCGTTCAAAAAGTAATGCCCAATAATGTTGAATGGGAAGTGAAAATAGAATCTATAAATCAAGTTGTCTATATCAAGAATGAGATGTCAAAGACACAACTGAACTGAGCAGGTATACAAGTCTTGCAACAATAGTTGTGCTTTCTAGGCACAAGACATTGGGGATAACCTATGACAGATGCAAAAATTTGAGGCTTTCAGTATCTGAAAAAACGTATATTTACTAGTTCAAGGTACTTGACATTTAGGACTTCCATTTTGGCAACCACATCAAAGTATTGCCAAAGTAAACGACACCCAGGGCTATGTGACGATGTCGTGAAATCATAGTTGGAGTCAAACAACTGAATCGTGAGATTGTGATTAGGAATAGCTGTGCTTGATGCCAAAAGCTTGATACCCATGGTTTATTCATAAGAGTTTTGGTTCTTTCTTCTAACTTGGGAACCTATTCGTGAATGAAATAGTTGAACAAGCACAGGACATTTTATGAAAACAAAATCAGATTTTGAAACAATGAAAGGTGGCTCAGAGAAACAAGTAGAATTGTCACACATTTATTATGATTATCGCTACAAAAACTAACCCAAGAGCCTTATGTGGACTCCAACAGCTTATTCTCTGCTCTATTTTGTTCATGTATTATTTTTCCTCACTGACACAATAATAGTGAAGCCTAAACTTAGCCTAAATTCGAGGCCACGAATGTGATGAGATTGATAAAAGGAAGAAAAGAAAGTGAGAAGAAAAGGAGACAAAGAAAGAGTGGTCTAATTTTTTGGGAAAAATGAGCACACACCTGTCCGCAGAACTTGCAAATAAAGTAGCTGGAGACCAATTATACAAAAAATAAAATTCATCATTTCCAGGTTAATTAAGACTGGCGTTCAATCAGCCTAAACGGGAGGAAAAAAAGAAACAAACACGAAAACCCTAATTTTACGAATGGGATTGGAGAGCAGAAAACACAATTCACATGATAGTAGACCACAAGCAAGATTGAACGGTAAAACAAAACGCAAATGCCACGTACTAATTACAGCCAAATAAAACGAGAGGTTGAGAAAAAGTGACCTGAAAAAGCGCTTTAGTTAACATCGGATTCTGAATGAGGATCTGCCTCGCTTGCTGCTGGTTCTGCTCGATGAGATTCTGAAGGAAGGGTTAAAATTTTCCGCACCGAAGACCCAGAGATAGAATGGCAAGGAAGAATACAAGCGTTAATAAGAAATATCGGTGGTATTTGAAAGAAAATTGAGAATTAAAGAAAAGGCAGGGATAAAAAGGCAATTCAAAACAGAAAGAATCAAATGGGCAGGGACAAGGAAAATAGGCATACCTTCATCTGAGACATGATCTCGTATAGCTGGCTCTTCGACATCCCGGCGAGGTTCGCCGACAAGCCGTCGCCAGAAATCTGTTTTCCCGCCATTGTCACTTACGGAGGAAAGAATTGAACGGTGGCTAATGCAATTTGTGCAGTCGGGGAGATGATGGTGTTCGGTAAGTTATTGGGCCTGGGATCCACATGTCAGTTTTGGGCTAAACTATTAAAAAGAGAAAATGGGCTTCAAGGGTGGAAATGACCTTTTATGGTTCAGAATATTCATTTGGGCATGCTATATGCTGCCTCTGGTCCGAACTTATGCTGATGTTTGTTTAGAAATGGTGGTATCATTCCCCCTCTTTGATACTGGTCTAGAGCAAAAGGGGGCAAAAAAAAAAAAAAAAAAACTGTAGTGATCAAATACAAAATGTAAATATTTATGTTTTAATTAAAAAATAAACTGTTTAATAATTAATAATTAAATCAATGCAAACTTTTTCAACTCAACTATTGAAATCATTTCTTTAATATTTAAAATTTGATGAGAAGGGTGAAAAAAGATAGAAGAATATTTTTTAAAGGAGGGAATGGAATCCAAGAAGTAGTTTTTTTTTTTTTTAAGGCCAGGAGATAGTAATTGGTTTACACTTTACAATAAGTCACATTGTTTATCATTTATAAATAATACTACTTATAATATATTTAAAAAAGTGCATTTTGCCCAAAAAGTAATGAAGAGCCAGATTAGTCATAACTTAAAAATAATTCAACTTCTTATAATTTTTTATATTTTATATTCGCATCGATTTATTGATTTAACAAAATGAGTAAGAGTGCAATGATTATATCATAACTAGAATTGGCAAGGAAGGTGGCTCTTTAATAAATTAAACCCCTGCGTAGTGATATTGAAAAGAAAATTTTTGAGGACCATATAATTAAATTATTTATTCAAAGGGAGCAAATATTTTAAAATTATTTTAGGGCTCATCTGCTATTTGCATTGAACACATTGCATGGAAAATGCCAATAATAATTATAACACAAATAGATTACAAATATAAAGAGACATGAAAACGCTACTGCATCATTACAGTTTATTTTAGAATTAAAAAGAGACTAGGTCCTTGCTGAAAATTTTTTCAACGTGGACCTCGCTGATTGATTTTCCATGAGGTGTATAGAGTTAAACCGTATGTAATATACAACTTGGCTATATTTTAACCCTAATTACAACTCATGAGATATGTATATAGTATTTTGAAGGAACTGGATTGGAAATATTGGCTCCATATTAGCTGTACCCACAGGAACTGAGTTGGATATTATAACAAAGAAGTTGAACACAATGTTTGCTCCAATGAACACATAAACGGCTTCACCAAAGGGAGTCCAGATTGAACGGTTGCTGCTGATGATGAGAAGCACTGGGATTTGAGACAACATGATCAGTTCCTCCAACGTTGGAAACTGCTTGAGACATGTACGATGATGCAACAAAGTGATCATTAGCTTGCTGCTGCTCATGATAGCTCTTGAGCTGCAATGCTTTGAGAAGCAATAATGAGTTCACTGACGACAGATTGGGATTGAGCATTAACCCTCGAGAAGCTGCAAGAAGAGAGGGAAATTGGTCTGTTGAAGCTGACGACCAATTTGTGCTCAAGCTCATGTTCGTGTTTACATTGCTGTGATAATAATCGCCATTATTAATGCTGGGATTAGTTTGTTGTACAATGTTGTTTGAGAATCCTGTTGAGGAATTTGCAAGACTAGTGCTGAAATTAGGAAGTTCGATGTCGTCACCCAGTTCATTCACCATTGAGGTTGCATTATTGCAAGGTGATGAATCTAAAGATACTGGGGACGATGGTGTGATCTCCTGAGGTTTTTTGGCTGTCGATATGGTCTTTTGGAACACCCTGCAAACAACCCATTCTTCCTGCAAATGAATGTAGAGATTAATCAGACTAAGTTATATATTATTGGTGTGAGTATTCCTCATATCACATAGGTATATATACCTTGGAAGGTGCAAAAAGGGGCATATTGTGGAGGCGATATTCATGCATAACCCAATTGGTTTTGAGGCCACGAGGAGCTCTGCCGTGGTAGAAGACGAGGGTTTTCTTGAAGCCGACCAATGCGCCGCCGTGAAAGATATGTTTGTCTTTGCCGGTGGTTTTCCAGTAGCCGGATTCTGTGGCTCGGTTGGTTCGAAGTCCGGTTGGATATTTCCTGTCTCTTAAGCTGAAGAAATACCATACCTTCTCTCCCATCGAAGCCTTAGCTTTATTATTCAAATCACACCATCATAATTAGTTTTGTTAATTATAATACATAAGTTAGAGTATGCACTTGTATCAAATCCAAAATGAAGGTTGCAATGCAGTACATAGCATGTTAAATTGTTAAAGAAAAGCTATTTTTAAAATATACACTTTAATTTTAGGTTTTTTAATAAAATATCTTCTGCTAATCTAAGTATATGCTGGATATCTGCGCATAACATTTTTAATGTACTCGTTCACACTTGATTTAGCAATGAACTAGCTCTTTAATGTCGGTTTAACTATAAGGCTTTGTGAGTAGTAAATTCTATCTTCTTACACTTCCCAGGATTGATAAATTTATTAAATGAAGTTATATGTAAATTAAAAAATACGTAATTATTAAATTAATAAATAATTTGTTGGTCCAGATTACGATAAAGATTGGACTGAATTTTAGTGTAACTTTTAACCAAATTTGCATTTTGAAAATAGAAAAACATGAAGGTTTAACAAAACTTGTAAGAGATGGGCAAACAAAAAAACAAAAAAAAAAACAAAACTCGTAAGAGATTACTGTAGAGCTAATCAGTCTAACTAATGTCATTAATTTTAGGGTGGTTTCTTATTTCCCTGTTTGCATCTTGCTGTAATGTTTTATCCAGAGAAAAATGAACGGGAGGTAGATGGCCTTCTTTCCTTTTCTCTTTGTTCTCGCCCCCCAAACTAAATAATCGAAAACATAATTATAGAATGAATGTGAGAATATGATTAAACCCTTAAAGATTATGAAGAACAATACAGTACAGTGGTCATCAACCAAGGGGAAACTATTTTATCTTAACTCGTAATTAACTCATAATAAGAGGCAAGAAGACAGAAGGAATGAAATAGAGGTTGAGGTATAGGTAGGTACCTGGAAGATCCCAGGGTTCAGACTTGTTGAGATCAACCACTGCAATAGCTTTGGAAGTGAAGCCATTAGCATCAGAAACTTTACTTGTTAGATAATAGTTTATGAGTTCTTCATCTGTGGGATGGAATCTGAAGCCAGGAGGCAGATTGTTTTCCTCCATTAATGTTCTTACCAGAGAGAAGCCCTGCGCCTTAATTTTGTAGAAGCTGCCCCAAAAGTAAGCTCAATAACATCACCCACGACAGCTATTAATAACAACGAAGGAAAAAGGAAGCTAGCGTCCTTAATTTGTTAATTTAAACCCATCTAACCCCTTTGACAATTTATCAATACAAGGTTCAGTTGTGGTGAATTTCCTGATTTGTCCTCCTGGGCTTTTGAATATTAATTTTGCACGAGGGGCTTCGAGGTTGAGTCCCCATGACCCCATATGAAATTTCGCCTTCTTTCCTTCTTCCCTCTCCAACCACCTTCACCCATTTCTACCCACCAGATCCTTTGCCGACTTATTCTAACCATTTTTTTCTTTTAATTTTCGCCACTTGTGAGTGTGATTTGTTTATAAATAATACTACCTCCGGTGCCAATTATAAAACCTCATTTATAGGTTACAAATGAAGTCTTATAGTTTAATTAGGACCGGTGGTATATAAAATTTGTATAGATTACTGGTACATGATGCCGAAATTTAAGTATTTTCCTTATTAGACTTTAGAAAATATGTCATTAAATAAACAGTTCTAAGACATAAAATTTACAAATCCTGTCTATACAAATGTACTTGTATGTTATCTGTGTGTGTGTAGTCTCTTATTATGTTGAACGTTATTTTTTTTTTTTTCAAATTCTTCAGTCATCACACATTCAACTAATTAAACCATTCTAGTAATTTGTCATGATATAAGATATATATGAAATCTTATAATCAAGCGATCAAATTTGCGATTTTCATATTATATTATTATATTGTCTAAATTTAAGTTGACAAGTGCATGACATCATTTCCTTCATTCACGACCGAACTGTCCAATATTGATTTAGTTTAATTAGATTTCATTGGTTAGCGATGGGTGAGTCGAATCAAAAAGTTAAGGGAATTGGAAAAGGATGACGTGAAGGGGAGAATAAAATCGAGAGAAAAATAAGGGGGGATTTAAAGTTAATTAAAATGCGAGCATTAATTGTTAATTAATTAACAATAATAATAATTAGCAGGCTGTTGGTATATTCAATGATGAGGTACGAAAATATGTTACAGTGAGTGGTTAAAATGGTGACCAACCCACGAGACTGTATATCCAAGAGGAAGCATCTCAGTTGCATCATCTTCGTTCTTCATCATCTTCAAAGCTCTTCTCAAAATTCAATCCTAACTCATAACTTTCTGCATTTCTCTCATTCTTTCTCTCTCTCTCTCTTTTATTTAAAAACCTTTTTTTGACCAAGCCTGCATTCCGGTCCTTCATTACGTGTGTATTTAATTTGTTTGCATGCAATCCGTTACCCTAATTAACAATGGGGTTTTCTAGAATCAAGTTTCTCTGAGAGTGAAGGTAAAGATATGTCTAAAAGTTAATCAAAGGCCTGAGGCAAAAGGAGATTTTGATATCAAGGTAAGTGTGTGAGGGAAGTTTTATGTGTAACTTTCCTGAAAGTAACTTTTTTAAGTGATTATAAAGGGTTGCCTAACTTCCTCTAAATCAATTTGGTCCAATTTAGCACCCCTGCTGGCCTTACCATAATTATGCATTGTTATTATAAGATTTTTTTTTTCATTCATTTTTTTCCATATGTTTATTTTAGGAGAATATATAAAGAATATATTCTGCTAAATCTCTTTCAAAATATGAAAGATAACAGATAAAGAGAAAGAAAATGAGAAAATATATTATTTATTCAACCATTCATTTTTTTAAAATTCAACAATAGGATGAAGAGAAAGAAAATGAGAAAATATAAGGTAATCATATTCACGATACTATCAGATAATAAATGTAAACACTTCTCCTAGTAAATATTCAAATCTCACAAGAGATCAATCAACTTTTTTTTGGTGAGGGTGTTTGGCAACCCTCAAAAGTGTTTATAAGAAGCATTTTTTCGTAAAATGAGACAAACTCCTCTACATATTTATTTTATAAACTATAAAAGTACTTTTAAAACTATGGTTTGGTTTCTATCCAAACTCCCTGTATCTTGCCTTTGTAAAATCTCACAAGCACCAACAGGCCTAGGTCAGTAGATCGAGAGATATATTTGGGCTCTCAGTTTGGGCCTTAGCTAATCATTGTCAAAAAAGATTTCGGCCAGGGGAGAAAATAGTACGCATTAAATTAAATTATTAATTATACATTAGTAAATTTACAAATCATCCAAACACGTGCTTTTTGCCCTTTTCTCGGCCAACAAGTCGGTGCTTATTTTAAAATTTATATCTGATGCCCGGTTTCTATAATTTTCAGTCTTAATTCTATCCAGCGTCTAAGAACCCACCCCATGTGATTATTCATAAACAGTTCCTCTATTAAGTAATTTGATGAAACAGTGATTAAGAAATTACTATCTCTGCTGCTTAATATAAAAGTTAAATAATTAATTTGAAGACATTAAAAAAATTAGTTAAGTTAATTTTTTATAATAAAAAATAAGTGTTGAGTTCCTCAAATTACCCTTATTGAATTATGTAGATTGAAAATATATTTAGATGGAAATATTTTACAATCAATAGGAGTATTTTTGAGAATACAATAAGAGATAAAGTGGATTGAGGTTTTATACTCCTCCGGTCCTTAATATAAGATCCATTTAACTAATTTGATTAGATTAAGAAAGTTAGATAAGTTAATTAATTAAAAAAAATGTAACACGTTTTTCCTATACCATAATCAGCTTTCTTAATACCCTCTCTTTCTTTTATGCTACTTAATTATGGTTGAGGGAGTATCCATAGGGATAATTTAGAAAAAAAATTTGATAAATATGAGAAATGGGTCTTATATTTAGAACCAAAACCAACTCAATAATTAGGTTCTATATTAAGAACCGAAGGAGTATTTAGGATCACCAACTAATTCTTATATTTAGGACCGGAGGAGTATTAGAGTTAGAATTCAAAAGTTTAGAGCAGACAAGAAGCTCTTATTATCATGACCTCATTAAAATATATAACTATCAATCCTTAATATAAAAGCTACCTTGATATTTAATTTGGCCCTACATATAAGATTCTAATTCACTTTGTTTCTCATATTTATCCACTTTTTCTCAAGGTAGTTCTTGAAATAGTTACACATGTTCAAGATTTCATCAAATAGTAATTTTAATTAATACACATGATTAGCAATGATATTTTACAAAGAACAATGCCTACTTATTACAAATAATTAATTTAATTAATTTTTTTAATTTACTCAAATTAATTAACTAACTTTTATATTAATTAAGGACCGGAGGTAATAATGTTTTTGTAATTGAACGCACAAATTAACCAAACAGGTTAGGCCAACACGAAGCACAATATTTATTTTTGAAAACTACTAAAATAATATCCGTAACATCACTAGTTCATGTGTAAGCTGAAGGAACTAAACGAACAATTACAAAAGGGAGAAAGAAACATTGAACCTTTTTCATGGTATCAAAGAGACTTTCATGCCAGTTTCTTCTATATGTATATTGGCCTTTTATTTTACTCAAATACTCAATATTTGAAGTAACAAATATGTAAACCCAGCTTTTAAAGGTGAAGGAGTTGTTTTACCAACAAATAGTTGTTTGAGCTGGCAAGCAATCTCATCTCTGCAAGGAAAAAAAAAAAAAAACATAAGTTCAAATAATAGGAAGTGCATTTTTTTGAAAGGGCTATAACCTTAATACTTCCAGCCTGAAAAAAAATTAATCTCAAATTCAAAATGACTTAAGGATACTCTGAATTATATAAAATAAATAAATAAAAAAAAAGGTGAAGGAGTTGTTTTAAGTTTAACCACTAAGTTAGTTGAATTGAATCCAATATAAATTATCTCTAAAAAAAATCCTATGAACTGTCACTGTCATTTGCATAAAATTACATTTTTTTAAACTTACTGGGATTTAATTTCGCGCGAATATAATTGAAATGTGAACTCTTCAAATTAACTGAATTGGTTATTTAATTAATTGAATTAGAAAATTCAGTTAATTATTACACATTTAAAATATAAGCTTCCAAACCTCGATTCAATATTAAAAATGATGCAAACAGGTGAATGCAATATGTTCGGCCTACTCCATTATTAAAAATTTTAATTAACTATAAATTCATTTTAGTAAAAGTTTAAACAAAATAATAACGAAGCATCTAATTAAAGTACCAAATTTTATCTTATATTAATATATAAAACCGCATAATGAGTCTGCATGAACAACATTTATACATATTCTGCAATCTGCAGTCTTATTAGCCAAGCCAAAGACAAGTATCAATTTATAGAAGATTGCTTAGAGAAGTCACAAATTGACAGAGCCATCCACCATCATCTTTTGAAAAAGGCTCTTTATTCCATGGGTAGGTAAAGAATAATAATGCACTTGAATTGAATAATGTTTGTAGCTCACAAAACAATTAACTTTACTTCATGCATTCCTGAATATACATTGTCTGCCCCATTTAATTAATTTAAACAATGTGAATCTTACTTTTTCAGAAAACATATATTATGGTTCTTCTTTTATAAAGCCATTTCTTCTGTCTGCCTATGCGTGTAGGTTGGTTTTAGTTCCTTTTTTCAGTACACATGCTTTTATAAATGATAATTCCTCTTTTTTTTTTTGCTTAGCGATACATATCTAAGATATTGAAGGGTCAAAGAAAGTTAGAAAATTGCTACAAAACAAGGTTTAGGTTCTTTTCATGAAATTTATGATAAAAATGATTCCCCTATTATATATGTATATATATGATTATCTTTGCTTCTGTCTCTGTTTTTGTAATTTCCCCTTTTTTGTTTAGTTACCGTCCCGAAAGAAGCCATATCAAATATTCTCTAATCAATAGCAATGGTACTTTTAAGAGCAAAGCTAGCTTAAATATCATTCTTTAGGAGCTGCAATTAAATATTAATATAAAACATTTTTATAACAATTTAGAATCTAATATGACGAGTTTCTCAATAAAAATTCTTTTTTAATGTAGATGGGAAGCCAATAGATCCTAGGGTAATACTTTCCTTTCACTGGAGATCTTCAAATTATCAATATCACTTGTTTCATATATGCCAAAATTATCAATTTAGTTAATGTTAAAATTTTATTTAAAAACAATATGTGTAAGTTGATATGTTTTCAGGGACAAAAATGTCATTTCAGGGTGCCCGTCATTTGTAATTTCCCTCTTTTTTGTTTAGTTGCTATCCCGAAAGAAGCCATATCAAACTCTGCTAAATATTCTCTAATCAATAGCAATGGCACTTTTTTAAGAGCAAAGCTAGCCTAAATATCATTCTTTTGGAATTGCAATTAAATATTACTCCCTTCTTATAAAACCCATTTTATAGTGTAAATTACACTGCAAAATAGGTCTTATATATTTAGGATCGAAGGAATACTACATTTGATCTTTAGTACTTCTCCGGTATTTAATATAAGACCCATTTAACTAATTTGATTAGATTAAGGAAGTTAGGTAAGTTAGTTAATTATAAGAAAATTGACACATTTTTCCTAAAACACCATAATCATCTTTCTTAATACCCCCTCTCCCTCTTCTACTTGATTATGGTTGATGGAGTATCCATAGGGGTAATTTAGAGATAATTGATAAATATGAGAAATGGGTCTTATATTTAGGACCAAAACCAACTCAAGAATTGGGTCCTATATTAAGGACCGGAGGAGTACAAGATTCAATTGATTAGTTTGGAAAGATTAAAAAAACTAGTTTAAACATTGTTCTTTCGGAGCCCCAATTAAATATTAATAAATAACAAGACATTTTTATAACAATTTAGAACCTAATATGACGAGTTTCTCCGTAAAAATTCTCTCTTAATGTGTATGGGAAGCCAGTAGATCTCGTTTCACCAAAGATCTTCAAATTATATGACTTCATTTTTTTTATTATAAAAGCATAGATACAGTTATTTTTTTTCTTTTTTTTTCACGAATTCGAAATCTTCTTCAACGATTAAAGTATGATTAGCATAATAGTCTCATTATATTATTATTATTTTATTAAAATAATAAATTAATAAAACAATGCTTGTTAAAATTGTATTTCGATATCCCTTGTTTCAGATATGCCGAAACTATTAATTTAGTTTATGTCAAAATTTATTTTAAAGAAAAATATGCGTAATTTGATATGCTTTCAGAGACAAATATGTCATTTCAGAGTGCACGTCATTTGTGAGAGAGAAGCTGCCAAAACCGCAAGAACTTATAACAGAGAGAACGCCATGGCCAGTTTCATAGTTTCAGCTGGCTTGATGACGCTGGGACATGCATGTGCCTAGATTAAAAGGAAGGTAATGGAGGGGCAAAATAGGGATTTCGTGTACAAAATTTGGACAATGTTGACCAGCGGAAAGATATGAAGGCGACGGATATTGTGCGTTGTGGAGAGCACTAATAGCGATTTCATTGCTTTTAGGGAGTGATCACTTCGCTGGCAAATGGTGGAGCTGCTTTGTAGCTCATTTTGGAGCAAAGCATTAAGCCACTTATCGGCCGCCGCCATGCCACTTTGTTCAAACCAAGAAGCTCTTCTCAGACTCTTCTACAATGCCTCCTCCTCCTTCCTCCTCCTTTTCCTCTTCCTCTTCTCCTCCTCCTTCCTCCTCCTCCGCTTCTTCAACTTCATCGGCAACTACCCCCTCCTCCACCGGTCTCTCTCTCTGCCCCCAACCTTCATCCTGTTATATGATCACATACAGTTTATTAACTTACTGGTTCTTTGTTTTGGTTTCTGTTTTGCAGAGATCAGCAGTATGAATATGTGTTTTCTGATGACGAGGATGAGGAGGAGGAGGAAGGAGAAGGAGAGGCAAGGTATTGTTATGATGCTGGGAATAATAGCCAGAGAGACCATCTGATGGCCGACATCGTTGGCGGTGGACAAGGTCTTATGTTTCTGCACTGCGACCACCGGGGACGTCAGAGTTTGAGGACGACTACTCGTCAGTCTTTCTCAGAAGACCTATTCATAAGTCCACGGGAGAGTTCGTTGCCTGACGAAGATAGCTCCGAATTGGAAAACCATTATGCCTCTGATCAAACCTTGTCTGTTCATAGATCCCCGCTGGTCTCAGACTTTGAATATGAAGAACCTGTTGAAGAAGAACAACAACAACAAGAAGAACGAGAGGAACAAGTTGTTGCTGCTGCTGTAAAAGATCATCAGGCTGATGATGATTCTGTACTCAACTCTGTCCCTATTGAAAGTGACTGGGTGGACAGCGACAAAACCTGTGAAGGTACTTTCGCTATCATCTTCGTTCCATTTCTAGTAACATTGTTCACATGATTCTCTATGAACTCTGCGTAACAGGCATCACTATGCTTTTTCTGCAGAGGATCATGTTACCGATAGGCTCATCAAGAACAAGAAAGTGCAGGAGGCCAACTTCACGGGGGATGACAGATTCTTTGTTTTGGCTCCCACCAATTTGAAAACCAAGAGGCTGGTTGTTGAAGAAAAGGACGAAGAAGAAATATATGGTGACTCCTGCACCGTGGGGTCCACCTCCAAGAGTTCATCTGACTGGAGAAGCTCAGTCATTTGCAGAGATTCCGGAACAGAAGACCCGTTCTCTTCTTCCTCAAGAAGGAGCTGCCCAAAGTGGGAGTCTTACACTGTGTTCCAGAAGTACGATGAAGAAATGACATTCCTAGACAGAATTAGCGCCCAAAAACTTCACGAAACTGGTATTTACTTAACCCAAGGAAAAAAGGGCTTTCTTTTCTTATATTTCTTTCATTGTATCGAATATTTTCAAGTTGTGGCCCGATTTCAGAGTCTTTGAAGTCAATCCATGTATCTCCGAGATCGATATCAGAGCGTATAGCGTACAAGTTTTCCAATATAAACAAGACACCGGCTCATATACGTCAGAACCCATACCGGGAACTGGAGGCTGCGTACGTGGCACAAATCTGCTTGACCTGGGAAGCTCTGAACTGGAATTACCACAATTTTCAGTCAAAGAAGGCATTGTGTCTTAATATTGAAGCAGGTTGTCCGGCCACCGTTGCCCAACAGTTCCAGCAATTTCAAGTGTTGCTGCAGAGGTACGTTGAGAATGAACCATATGAGCACGGAAGAAGACCTGAGATCTATGCAAGAATGAGGCTTTTGGCTCCTAAATTGCTCCTTGTCCCAGAATACCGAGGTTAGTGATTAACTAAATGCATTAGTAAGGTTAATTTTTTTTCCCTTTTCTATTGCTCGAATCAGCAATAGGTATATCTTATGGTGTATTTAATCTTAGGTATAGATACTATATATATATATATATATATATATGGTAGGCGAATGAAAGCATAGGAAGAATAAGAGAATAAGATTGCATATGATGCATATATAAAACTGAGTAGTTAATTAATTACGAGCGGAACTTTTGAAGATTCGGAGGATGATCAGGGTGAGGATGATTATGAGTCAAGAATATCGTCAACATCATTTCTTATGATAATGGAGGATGGGATCAGAACTTTCATGAATTTCCTCAAGGCTGATAAAGAGAAGCCCTGTCAGATCCTAGCAGCCTACTTTAAGAGAAACCGAAGAAGCTCCGTGGATCCAGCACTACTTCGGCTTATGAAGAAAGTTAACCAAAAGGCAAGTCCCCCCAGATTAAATTAATCAATATTGCTTTCCAGATCACCACGTATCCTTTACTTATTAATAAACTAACACTGATATATATATATATATATATGGATATTCGGTTAATGCAGAAGAAGACGAAGGTGAAGGATCTTCGACGTTCGCGGAAATGCCTGAGGAAGAGGAAGCAGAAGGAAGATCAAGAGATGGAAATTTTGATGGCACTGATAGACCTAAAAGTAGTGTCGAGGGTTTTGAGGATGAATGATTTAAGCGAAGAACAGTTGCAGTGGTGTGAGGAGAAGATGAGCAAAGTGAGAGTGATGGATGGGAAGCTTCAAAGAGATTCCACCCCACTTTTTTTCCCTGCACATTGACTGACCCACCCGTCTGCCCAGATTATTCTGAAATTTGTCAATTCTTATATATTCTTGTTGCTTGATGACTCGATCGTGAATGTGCATTAGTCATGCACAGAGGAATATCCATAAGGTGCTTTTGTAGATATTGGGGTTAAAGCAGAAAAGAAGATGGAGGGACCCTATATATATATGTCATCAAAGTAAGAGAGAGAGAGATTGTGGGTTTTGGAACCAGAAATCCATGGAAGGCAAAGTTAAAGATGAACACTGAAAGGGAAAGACCAGAGACAAAGCAAGGAACATCAAGATAAAGACAAGAGGAGCTTTAGTTTTACATTTTTTACTTTAGCTTTTTCTCTTTTAATTTTTAAATTAGGGTTTATCTACCGGCTAGCTAGGGGGTTTTAGCCGAATCTTTAAGAACAATAATCCAGACTTATGCCACACGCATCTGCAGAAATAAACAAGTATAGAACACATACGTGATAGACTAGGGAAATGGTAGGCAATAAATCAGTTCTCTCTTTTGTATTTTTTTTTTCTCTTTCTCTGGGCACTTAGTTTTGGTAAAAGGGGAAATAAAGAAAAGCATTCACTTATGGGCATCCAGGTCTTCGTCTTCATATTTTATAAAGCTAGGTCTGCAGACGGATCACCATGAAATGTAAAATTTGTTACTTTTCAAACCAAAATATATCTACCCATGCTGCATTGCTTTTTTTCCCCCTCCTGTGTTAATTTGTGAATTTCCTTATTTCTACAAGTTTCAGTTTTCGATATATGCTTTTTAGCTCTAAACATACTTAGGTTTTTTTTTTTATAAAAATAAAAACTGATTATGAATAATATGACTTTTCTAAGTCTCCATTTAAAATATTTCTTTTTAAAATTAATATCCGTCATGTGACTCACAATTTGAAATACACCAATATAAAATAAAAAGTTCATAATCAATTAGGCTATTCATAAATAAATCATTGATAACAGAATTTCTCTATACATGCAATTTTTTTATTCTTGCTGCACATACTTCACATGGTTCTGTGAAAAATTGTTATTGTATAATATTTTGTCATGTTTCAATTTTTTAAAATATAAATAAAAAGAAATACAATTTTGTTAAAGTTCCTTTTTATCCTAAAACCACAGTTAGAAACGGATTTCTAAAGTTTGCCACTAGAAAACTTGCCGTGTGGACTTCTTTCGAATTCATGTAGGCCGGACAGACCCAAAATCTTTCCGTCACATGATAAAAACAATATGTCAAATCACCAAGAAAAAGCTCCTCCACCGGCCCAAAAATATTTGCAGGATTATATTTAGCTCGGCTCTGAGTCAATGCGTCTAATGGATTTTTTTTCCCCTCAAAAGGCCAAGGACAGGAGAGGCATTTACAAATCTTTAGATCTTATATCAGCAGCAAAATTCAAATTCACGACTTTGTAAGTTATAAGTCAACTACTTACTAATCGAACCAGTTCTTGTTGGCAATTTTTTTTATGAACTTTTTTTTTTTTTAATTTTCTTGGTGTGAGGGTGAAATTTTTATGTGAGATGAATTTAGCGACATGCACGAAGCAATATAAACTCGAACCATAGTATGTTAGTGGGCCAGAACCACAAATAGTTCGGCCCGATTATTGAGCCCAAGATAACATCCACTTAGTCGCTTGGAAACTCCAAACTTAGCAAACGATGGGTATTTTTCCAATAGTCATCAAAGAAGAATACAATCCCTAGTTCCTCACCTGTCTGCTGCGGAAAATAAAGTTATAGTAGTATATAATAAATAATACTACTCCACTCCTAAATATAATACTTATTTTGTGGTATAATTTATACTGTAAAATGAGTCTTTTATATAAGACCCGTGGAGTATTGTTTATGAGTAATATGTTCCTTAAGTAATGTGGCTGCGTTAGCAAGGGGAGCATGCTAAGAGATCTTAAAATATGAAACCATGAGGGGAACTTGGAAGGAAAAAAATAACTGTAATAATTAGAGGGCATGTTTGGTTTAATTTTATAAAAATGTGGGGTCACACAACATGATGATATGTTGGGTTTGTATCCTTTGATGAACCAACAGGGGGGCCTAAGCTGGTCCATGCTTTGCCACCTTTCCTCGCCACAAGATTAAGGAAATAGAATATTTTAGATATTTAGTATTTTTATAATGTCGATGTTTAGACTAAGTCAATAAAGCACATGAGCTCATGCTAATTTTATGAATTTATACGATGTGTTGAACTATATATCAATAAACTAGATCGTGAAATCTGTACTTTATATGGAGTGTAAGATGAGTCATACTATATACTACCTCCGGTCCTTATTATAAGACCCCGTTTAACTTTTTGTTTGGTCCTAATTATAAGACCCCAATCCATTTTCTCTCCCATATTTATGCATTTTTTTCCAAGATAATCCTTCTAATAATGATAGTTCTAGCCAATATACTTAATTAGCAAGGATATTTTAGGAATGACAACACTTATTTATTACAAATAACTAACTTAACTTACTTCCTTAATCTCCTCAAATAAGTCAACTGGGTCTTATAATTAGGACCGGAGGTAGTATTAATTATCAATGAATAAGATGGGTTTGTATAGATTTCATGTAGACATAATATATTTATATTGACGATTCATTTCGTGAATTAAACAACAGATGTCTAAAATTTATAGGAATCCCTATTTATACTACTGGACAATTGAAAGTCTACAATAATGGGTATTCCATCAAATCGTTTTTATAAGTTATAATTTTTTAAATAGCTTTGATTCATTTTATAAGTAACATTTTTAAAGATGTCTAAAATTTTAATGCATTTTTTAATTTTTAATTAATTACATGTTCACCTCATATTATTTTGACTTGTGCTCACTTATATTGTTCCTCATGTTTTTTTTTTTTCCTCACGCATTCTCTTTCTCACTCCGCCTCTTTGTAAACAAGGCATACTTGAAAAAGAAACACATGTTTTGTTTTTAAATATTTATTACCTTTAACTGGTTTCTCAATCTACATACTCCAATTATTTGTAACTTATAAAGAAGATTGAATGGAGTACCGTACTAATAAAAAGCCTGACTTTCATTAGTGTGACTTCATATATATACTCCCCCGATCCTTAATATAAGACCCATTTAACTAATTTGATTAGATTAAGGAAGTTAGGTAAGTTAGTTAATCATAAAAAAAGTGACACATTTTTCCTAAAATACCATAATCATCTTTGTTAATACCCCATTCTCCATCTTCTACTTGATTATGGTTGAGGGAGTATCTATAAGAGTAATTTAGAGAAAATTAATAAATATGAGAAATGGGTCTTATATTTAGGACCAAAACCAACTTAAGAATTGGGTCCTATATTAAGGACCAGAGGAGTATATATTTATTAGGTTCTAAATATAAGACCCTTATACATACTAGTATAAAAGTTTTATATTTAAAACCAAAGGAGTATATATATAGAGAGAGGTTGTGAAGGGTTAATTTGTTAGTTATGTTTAATGATGTTTTTGTTTTGCTTGCAAGTAAAGCAAACATATAATATGCTGAACAGAGGAGGGAGTGGGGTTTTCATGTGGGCAGCATGTTGTATGTTGGATCGGAGGAGGGGATGTTCTTTTTCAAGGCATGTGATTGGGTGAAAAAGATATGGTCTTGAAGCCGCTAGCCCCCTCCATTGATTCCAATGACACACGCACATGAGAGGAAATACGTGAGTGGGATATACTATTCATGAATATATATATTTGAGAACTTTGGTTGCTTCTGTCCCTGGTTAGGAATCGGCTCACGAGATCAATTTTTTTATGACTATGAGAGTGATCGAAATGGAAGCCATGAGGGTGAAGCTCATCCCACGCATGTTTCTTCCTGCAAAGTTGGGGGTTAGGTCGGTTGCTCAATAGTAGTATTGAAACGTGGCAATCTCAAGGCAACTTCCCGTGATCTTCTAATTAATTCATAAAAGGCCTTGTACATGCCTTTCAATCTCAGCTTGCCATTTACTTTGTTCTCTCTTTCACTTATCTCCTCCGTCTTTTTTTTTTTTTATTGACTTCACCTGATATCCTAGGCCAGCCCCTATTTATGGGGAATTTAATGAGCCCAAACTAATCTGGATTCAAGCCCTGAGGGACTCTTTCTGGTGGCTAGTTCTATCACCTGCACGGTTGTGTTTCTAAGTCTCAAACTTTGGTTCAGTTAGAACAACTCTCTTACCAGTTGATCCAAGCGTTTGATGGTTTATCTCCTCCATCTTTTGTCCAAGCTATTTGTTTCCTCTATTTCTTTTTATAAGAAATAATTTTTCTCATAATTGTATTTTTAAATGTAAGAAACAAATTATTTTTGTTTGAAATTTTAAACTATTCTTTCCTCTTTTACCCTTATTAAACAGATCCCACTTATTATTTCAATAATAAATTTTTACTTATTATTTCTCATGTACTATATATCTTTACAAATAAGTGTATAACTAAAAAATACGCGTATACTTTACACATTTATTATTTTTAACTAACATTTTGAACCGCGTAATTTTAGTAGTCTTTTCTTACAATAAAGTTTGGAGGGAATATATTAAAAATAGTTAGTAACAGTATAAAGAGATTAAACTTGCATATTCCCTCTTATAGAGGAGAATTAATGCCATTAGACAACAATGTTTTTGTTCTCTCTCCCTTTTTCTCATGTATTCCATGTTCTCCTAAAATCCATTTGCAACTGTTTATTTGTGAGTTTCATCATGTTCCAGCCACCATATATATAGGGATGAATGAATATTAATATATATTATAGATATAGATATAGATAAGGAGTAGCTAGGTTTATTTGATTTGTTGCATGTCTTCTTCAACAGTTCTTTTTCTTTCGTGAATTGTTGTTGATATGGAATAATAGAAGAGGGTGAGCGAACAGAGCAAACCAAATGGAAATGTCCCAACCAAATAGGGGTAAGGAAATTAAAGAAAGAAAATAAGTTTATCCAGCCACTGAGTACGTGTGCCCTCTTCAATATTCAGCTCAGCACATCACCTTCCATTCCCAAAATTCGGAGAGCTTTATATCTTTTCCACTTTGGAATCGAATATATATATATATATATATATATTCTTTTTATGTATCCCTTCTTCAATTTATTCCCCTTTTCACGGATGGCTTTGGAATTTTCTCACGTCATTGTGCTGTCTTTTTGGCAAGTCAAATTATTTTTATTATTGAACCAATTACGAAAGTAGTCATATGTTCTATTCTATCTTATAGTTTTTATCCTTACAGGTTTGAAAATTCACACACACACACCACACACACACACACACACACACACACATATTTGCATTCTCATTCGAAAGTCCCTTCGCCTTGGTCCAATGTTAAAAGCCCAAACCCAGCTTTTTAATAAAATAAAATAAAAAAATGAGAGAGAAACTCTTATTTCCCTGTAATTTTTTCCCCCTCCATTTTGCCAAATTCTCTTTTTTCTTCAAGAAATACACACAAGACATTCATACCTAGACTAATATAGATCGTAGGAAATAAATAATTCAAACTCTTATAATACATTAATAAAATTAGAAAAGGAAAGATGCAAAATAAAATAAAAGCTGCTTCTTAATTTTATTCTCAATCCGAGCAAGCATCTCAAACAATTCCCCGCATTTAGCGTGGCAAATTTTAATCTATTTCTTTTGATTTTATATAATTTAAATACCCCATGTCAACCAAATACCTATAAATTTTATAAATACTATTAAGGGTTTTTGTTTCTTCGACACAGAAAAAATGTATGTAAGTTATGTATAATCGTTTGGGAAGTCACTAGTGACATGTTTTTAAACTCAAAAAGGGTTTACAAAAATACTTAGGTAACGGGTTTTAGTTATGTACATATATATATGAAGAAAATTTTCATATTATCATGTTCCAACAGGGATTTGCCATATATATAACATTGAATGCATTTATATTCAGGCCAAAAAAAAAAATGCATGCATAAAAAACATTTCAAAATAACCGTGTTTAAATTGTAAAAAATATTTAACAAGTTCGGACTAACACATTCATATATAAATGTTTTACTTATGTTTGGACCGCACCTACTATTATTTCACTTAATGAAAATTGAACTAGTATAAAAGTAATTAGTGCTTTATTAAAAAAATGCAAAGAACTAAAATTAAATTATATAAATAATTTATAACAGAGAATTGAATTTTTTTTGTTTTTTTACTCATTTGTTTAAGCAGACACATGCCTGTGATTTACCGTACACACGCAGGACAGAGGTGGGCAAACAGTGGGGCAGTCTTTTTCGAAGCATGAGGAAGTAATGAGAGAGAAAGAGAGGGGCAAAAATGACAAATCACCTCAAAGGCAAGCTGCGACATGCGATGCGGCCACCATGTGGATCAGATCATCAGATCGTTTCTCTCTTCCCCCGCGTCAGCGAATAAAGTCGACCCCTCTCAGAATCCAATCCCACATCGCCTTACGTCACAGAATCCGAGGAACGCCTGAACAATCTAACGGATCATGACCGCGGTCGTATATGCTAAACCTGCACCTCATCATACATTAGGATTCCTCCCCTTTGGTCGTCACTCCCTTTCTCTCTCTCTTCTACTAATACGGTGCCTAACCTTCCCTCCCTTCTCCTGACCTCCCTCTCTTTGTACCTGTACCTTTTGCGTGGGCCGAAAATTTTCTCTGTTCCTTCTTCTTCGTCTTCCTCTTCTCAGAGTGTTCTCTGAGGCAGCTCAGGTACTTTCGTCATCCCTCTAGATTTCTCTCCAAAATTTTTGCGCTTTTTGGTTCCTCTGGTGGAAGATCTAGAAACGCAGTTAATTTTTGGAATTTCGTTTGTCTGTACTTTTGGTTTCTTAAGCAAGCCTGAAATTTTAGGCGTTTGCGTTTTTGTCCCTGGGGTGCTGAATAAACAAATGTTATTTCTTTGTTGTGCAAGAATGATTTAATCTTTAGATCTTGTTGGGGGTGTTCTAACGTTTAGAGCTGAGGTTGCTGTAGAATTTTGTTCCGTTTTCCTCAGATTTGTGAAACGGTGTTCATTTTTGTTTTGATTTTTGCGCTTACAGGCGTTTCCTTGTAAAGATCTCTGATATTAAAGGTTCAGAAAGAGCAAAGATGAATTGCTGCAGAAACCAACAAAACGCCTGGACAAGCTGCGAGGAGATGAGGAAGGAGTCAATGGTTTGCCCTAAACCTCGTCGCTTGGGTCGCTTAAACGTCCCAACCGTGAACGACCACATAAGACCCCTGAGACGGCCAATATTCAAGTAATTCTCAATTTCTTTTCTTAAAACTGACAAAATTTGAGTTTTTCCTCGTTTTAGCCCTAACTTTTTGTTTATTTCAACACGAATCAGCTACCAATCGGACGTGGAGGATACATCAGGAGTTGTTCAGGCAGAGCTTCTGGAAATTATTCACCCCAAGGTTATTTTCCTCCTCAATCTCCAACCATCAAACAGAATTCAATTTTGGTGATTTATGATATGCCCCTTTTAAAGACGGCATAAATTTCCATCTAAACCAGGAGCCAAAAAGATCTGATCTTTACGACTTTTTTTGTCTGTTATTGAGCAGGAAAGCTACCCTGACAGATCTGGGAGCCAGGTGGGTTATTCGCCTCCATATTTTTGTGGATCTCCACCAAGCAGGGCTTCAAACCCTGTGATCCAAGACGAGCAATTTGGTAATGGGAATTTTAATCCATTCGCAATCACGCCCGCTTCGCCATCATCTTCTTCCTCAGCTCGAGGCTGTGTTCGAATGAGCTTTGGCCACAAACCAGCTGCTGTTAGGATTGAGGGCTTCGATTGCCTGAGCAGAGATAGGCGAAACTGCAGTATTTCTGCTGTGGCATAAAATCACAACTTGAAAGGAAAAAAAAAAAGAAAAGAAAAGGCCTCATCAACACCATGAAGCTGAGGAAAGAAGGTAGATGACAAAAAAATTTCCGAGTTCGAAGAGCAGAGGAGATTTTGGAAGCGGGAGAGGGGAGCTATTGTTAAATTAAAAAAATTTTAGTGTATGATATGTATATAAAGGTGTATTGGAGAGTCGTTGTTCATGAGTTAAGGTGTCATGTCATGTAACATGGAGATGGCGAGAACCGAGTCTTTTTTGTCATTTTGAAGAATAAAAGAAGACAGGGAGGTATTACAGTAAGAGGAAGCTAAGCCTTTCTCGTGTCCTTTAGGATTTAACATGTTATATCATGGTTCTGGAGTCTGTAACTGTGGGTTTGTTTTGTCGCTCAGATCCTCCGTCTGTAATTGTAATTTGGAGGAAGCTGAGGATTAATCTCTGGAATTGGATGTTGTAAATTAAATTGTTTTTTCCTTTTTTGTGGGTGCTCCTGTTTCCCAGGTGTTGCCTGTTGTTGATAATCGCAGAGATGATGAAGAAGATGATGTTTGTTGCGTGTGCATATTACAAGAACATGTCATTTCAATACCTTAATAAATAGAAAGCATTGATTTATGGTTTAATAATGGGGGGAAGGTTAAAGATTGGTGGGAGGAAAGTGCAGAAGGGGAATAGAATAGAATGTGAGGGTCAAGTCTGGAGGGCTGGGTTTTGAAAATGAATACGGATAGAATGAATGAAGATAAGTGTGGGATGATGTGATGGTCCAAGAATCTGACTAGGAAATGAGGTGGTGATTGATGCTGTATGTCTCTATGCATATGTGTAGGGGCGAGCGTGTGTAGTGGTGAGTTGTGTTTTTTTTTTTTTGGGGGGGGGGGGTTTGTGACATGAGGATGGGGCCCACCGGATTGTGGTGGGTGAAGAGGGAAGAAGGTGCGTGGGAGTTTCGTGGTCACCAGTGGGAGCATTGTGAGCGACACCGCAGCCGGCGCTGTGGGCTTCTGCTTCTGTTATGTCCAACCTCCGTAATACCCGCCCCGGTTTTGTATCCCTCTCATTCTCGATGCAAACATAATCTTATTCATGTTTTATTTTGATATTTTGTAACTAACTAAATAATTTCTTAACTAATTACGCATTATATTAAATTTAAAAAATATTAATAAGCCTTTATATAATAAGAAAGGGAAAAATAATTTGATTTTGTTATAATATTTTTAAAATGAAGATATATGTTCTCTTAAGTCATATACTTTTATAAATTTATATGGAAAGTTATATTCTGATATAAATTAACACATTTATATGAAAGGTTATAACATCTATGAAAATATAAGATAACCACCGGTTGATAAAAAGTTGTGTTGTTTTTTCAAGATAACTGTACACATTAACACATGGAAAAGTTATCATGGTTGTAACTTTTAATTGAAAAATTATCGGTTTCAAGCTGCATTCTTTTCAAGACATCATTTCATGATCTTTGTAAACTACTTATCATCACTTCATTGGCACACAATGAAAACACAAGACATCAAATTTGTTGTCTTTGTTTCTTAGTGCACACAAAGATAAAATCAAATTATCACATTTTAAATGTCATTGTTGCCTCAACTTGAATTTTAAAAATATAATTTATATTCAAAGGTTTTTATTGTAGCATGCAGGAAATTTGCTAATTAACCCAACGTACATATTATAAAATTAAAACAGGTAGTAAAAAATTAAGCCTAAAAAAATATAATCCACACTTTAAAGATATCGTGCGCCCCTTTATTTTTCTTCTCTTCTTCTCCTACTTCTCATGAAACCATTCCCACCAGCAGATTTTGAGTAGTGAAACGAATTGTAAATTCATGGGATAGAGAGAGGCAAATTAGGAGTGGGTGTTAGATGGGTGGGAATAAGTGTCGTGTTGACTTTTGAGGAAGAGGCGTTGGACTTAGATCGGGTGACAGTCCAGTCTCAGACTCTCAGTAAAAGGGATGATCTGGCACAACTCTGCCTTTGCCATGTGCAGCACAAGAGAGAGGAAGGCCGAAAACAGAGAGAAAAATGGAACTCGTTTCTTCCCGCTCAAAATGTTCAGTGATCGAGTCAAATTATTCGTTTTATGGGTTTTAATTGATTTTTGACTAATTTGACTCGTTTGTCTGTCTGATGGTTTGCTGAAATTAAATGCTTAACATTTGTTAATGGTCATGTTAATCATTGTGGAAGTCAATGCTAAAAAAATCTGTTTCTCTTAGTGTAAAGGCTGAGGGATTGGGCATGGGAGGGTTGTTCGATTTTTGCAAGAGGGAAAAAAGATTGAAGAGCTAAATGGAAACATGGAAATTTCAAAAGGGGCAATTGTATTTATTTCCCTATTTTTAAACATTGAAAACTAAGTTAAACAGCTATTTTCTGTCCGTTGATAACAAAACCAAGTCTTCAATTTCCCGTTCATCTGGCAGCTTTGCTGTCTCCTCTCAATCTGCCCATGGTGCCTGTTAAATCAAACAAAAATCAATATATGGAAGTTAAAATATTCATAATACAACATATCAATATGTTGAGTATTTGTAATATTAATATTAACATCGATCGTTACTTTTAAATCATTACTTTATCTTTGGATGAATAATCATCCCCTTGTACAGTTGACACCAAAGAATGAATTTGATTATTACATTATTATTCAGATTCGTGGGTCGAAGTCAAAACAATTATATTTACATGTGCATGTGTGTAATCTACGAGCGCAAAGAAGAAGAAGATTTGTAAATAACGTTGTTACAAAATATGCAGTGTTCGTTCTTCATTGCCACCGTTTCGAACCTTTTAGAAGTCCCCCACTGTTGCTTCTTTTAATACCTGAAAGAAATTAATCACATGTGTATATACATAAGCTGAGGGCTGAGTTGCCAAATGAGAGCCATAAAATATATCTACGGACAAAAATTTCTCAAGCACCTTATGTTATAGATGGATATATAATTGTCAGGATTTAATTTTGGAAGCCTAACATGAATCTGATAATTATAGGTACATGCACTGCGTAATACACAAGAACAGGGTATGAACTTTAATTTTTCTGCATACTTGGTGACTTCTTGGCGATTCCCCTTGTGGTGGTCGGTGAGGGTTGGGTTGTTTTTGGCAAAACTCGACCAACTTTCGATACTACATTTGATCTGCATGACGTTCAATTTCAAATAAAAAATGTCAGCATGACCATTCAAATTTCATGTTTTTGATGTTCTATGAATTGAGTACAGATTTTCTAGAGAAAAATGAGTCTCGTGATCTTCTTTCTCATTGTCTCACTTGGTCTTGAACATCCATTTATCTTGCATTTTAGCATTTAATGTTATTGAGCAGGAATGTGAAGTGGCCAGAGCTTTAATAATACTACTCACTTCATCGTGCGGAATGGAGATTTCTTCTTTTCAGCGACAACTTTATTATCAAACAAATCATCTTTGATGGTTCTCCGAAGGCCCCGTTCAGAAAAGTCACTTGGGGTTCCCCCATAATCTGCACTTGCATGTCGAAAAATCTCTGTCCTTAGAGGACTCTTCCGCTCTGTGTGTCCTCCACCAGTTTTTGGAGACGGTTTTGATCTGCACAAACATGCGATGTCGAAAATAAATTGAGCTACCATTCAAAATTCATGGGTAGGTAGCTGTTATACTCACTTCACCATGCGAAGTGGCGATTTTCTGTTTTCAATGGGAACTTTATTATCAAAAAAGTCGTCAGCTTCTGCTCCTAGAAAGCCACCGTCGGAGAAATCACTCAGCCTTCCACTATAATCTTCACTTGCATACCGAAAAATCTCTGGCCTTGCTGGACTATTCCCTCCAACTCTGGGAAACTGGAAAAATTCAGTTTCTTGTTTTAGGCCATCCATTGGCTGATGGAAATGAGCTTCACACTGTGTATTTCGTCCCCCTGATGCAGCAGGGTCCCGCTTAGGAGTACTGCTTATGGATTCTCTGCCCTTAAAGGGAGATCCATACCTCAAAGAGGCTTTCTCAGAATTGACATTTCTCATATCTTTAAGTGAGTGTAGCTGCTCAATCTCCTCATCTTTCAATGCAATTGTGTTTTTGAGAAAAGCAACCTGTAAATGCATATTGAAACAGTTTAATCCCATGGAAACCAAATGTTTGCAAGAAATGGGGTAAGAAATGATTCTTTTTTATAACATTTAGAGTCAAAATGAAATAATAAACTACAAGAGAGAACACAATTTGTTAAGCACCTGCTCCATTAGTTCTCTAACATCTTTTCCATCTTTAGTGCTTCGTGCAGGTCCTAATTCAACTCCAGAGACCCTCTCAGCAAACTTTAATGTACTTAGACTTTCAGAAAATGAATTTATTTCCGGATTAAGTTGGACAAACATGAGGGTCTTTGCATGACCGCCTATGCAGTAAAATCCCAAGAGATTTCTATGCAGTTTAGCAGAAGCTCAACAGGCAATCCTATCAATGAAGGTAGACAAATCTACAAACCATGGTCTAGTGACACATACCAAGAGAGCTTTGCAGGAGTTGAGTAAGTTTGCTATTTCTATATGGCACATGGGTGCTCTTCTGTGCAAGGGCAAAAATGACATCTCCAAGGGCAGACAATGATTTGTTTATATGCTGTGCTTCCCTAAGCCTATCCCCAGTTGCTTCAGAACGATCTACCCTTTCACTTCCTGCCAAATCTACCAAATGAAGATTACCATGCAGAGAAGAACCAGAGTGTATATCTTTCCCACGAACATGAATTGAGACCACACTGCATATAGAGTCACTGGGTGTCATTACGCTGGAAAGAAAGCTTTCAATATAGAGAGTGGAAGAGCGAAGAAATAAATCATACCTGTGAGAACGACTACTCCTTTCATTCATAGCAGTGGCACCCATTGCTCTGTTTTTCAGTCCAATGTCCATTAGCATCAAAACATCTGAGGTTGAATTAACACGGAACATGCCGGCATCAGGTACAGCTAAGCCCTTGGGTTGAGGCCGGGTCAATATCCCAAGTGTGTGCAAATCAAGGAAACATATAATTCTTGATTTGGATAGAATGAAATTTGAAAGAGGAGAATGGAAATAAGTAGATGGAAGAATCAGTTGGTTAGATACTGAAAAAGGATATCTTTTTTTAGGGCATCAGTTGCCAACAAATCGCGCACTTGTTCGTTATATATCTCGACCATCTGAACCCAAACCTCATAGACTATAGAGCCTGTTCTGCTACTGGAAATGCTAAAGAGGTCATTCAGAGCTCGATAATTAACACCATAAGTCTCTTCTGTCGCTCCATTAGGACCACTCTGAGATAAATTATCTTCTAGAATCAGGAATTTCTCTGATTAGCGTGAGTGATGCAATACAATTAGAGCATGTGAAGAGGGTCCATACCATTGTGTAAGTTTTCCCTGAACCTGTTTGGCCATAAGCAAATATGCATGCATTGTACCCATCAAGTACTGATCGTATGAAGGGTTGTATGTCAGAGTATACATCCTCTACATCATCAAGAGTAAATGAGACATGAGTAAAGCATAATGGTATCAAGAAGATAGTCAAACTGGCAAACAGTTCGTCTGTTGTCAATTTTGAAGCATGATCTTCACAAATACTAGTATATAGGGGGGGGGGGACCTTGAGATGCAGTTGGACCAAAGATCTTATTGAACTGAAATGATCGTAGGGCTTCTTTCCCTTGTTTGGAACGATTTGCTACAACCAAATCCGTTTCACTAATATGTTCTATGATGGATCTTTTTTCCCTATGTCCGGGGAGGAATGGTCTGATTCGACAATATACTCTGATATTACCTGTAATAGGATTAGCTTGGCGTGAGTTTGTGTACCTCCCGGATTAATAACCCAATAAACAGACATATGTGAAGCACCTTTCAATTCTTGAACTTCATTAAATAGTCTTCGATTTTCAGCCAGAATAACATGATAATTATTAGTTGCATCCACTATTGGTTTAAGATCTGAACCTGAACAATTTAAAAATTAAATGATCAGAGAGCATGTTAAAAGTAACAAAAATGACACGCAAGTGACGAGGATTACCTAATTGTTTGCATTCCTCCATGTACATTTTTTGCCCTTTCAAGATATCTTGCACAATGGATTGCCAAGACAATTTTATTTTCTGGAATTTTTAAGGGAAGATTCAGGAGAAATTTGTAATACTTGATAACAAAGAATAATTAGAACTTGGGCGTCACACATTTGTAAGCATACCTGTAGGGAACTCGATTGAAAATCGACAGCTTTCTGCAATTGGCTCTTCTCCATGTTCCATTTATGATACTTTGAGTCAGAAGAAGCCTCAAGTTCTGTCACCTTATGGACTAAATCGTTTATTTGAAGTTCATATTCTTTTGACTTCTGATTCAGTTCTCCTTTAGCACCCTCAGCTTCTGCTTCCAACCGTAAGCACGTGTCTTTTGTTGTTTCTAGTTCTAGCTTCAACATTGAGAATTTTGTATTTATCTGGTCCATCTCTTCCTTCAACCTAATCAACTCTTCATCACTAGCCTTCTTCTCTTCTTCCACTCTGATCTTCTCAGCCTATATTGGGGGGCCATAAAGCCCAAAATATAAATAAATATGGAAATAATCCAACCGAAAGCTTTCATTTTATTGTCTCTCTAAAGTGTACCAATACGTATTTAGTTTGAAAGGTAAGTGCGCTTAATACCGTTAACTGCTTAAGCTGGTTTGCAACCATCTGTAACAAAGGATCCAATGTGATTAATCAGATATTTATACCAGTGATAACTTCGGTGAAAATTTAAATATAACTGCCGCTAACTTAATGAATTTCGATTGTGATACCTCGCTTTCTTCTCTAGTTCCAGACGCAAGTGCCTCAAGAACTCTGATTCTTGATTGATATTTTTCATCACGAACCCTTAAAATATTGTTTTGCTGAAGGTACAAGGTAAGGTTGTAATAAGAAGAGACCCAAAGTAACAAGGTTTTTAAATTTTTGTTCTTAATATACATACAGTTCGTAAATGTTCTGCCTGAATTGATATACGTCGCTCAATTTCCTGGACAATCTTTTTCAACAAGGGGACCACACGCTGAGAAACAAGGACATAGTTAGATGTTTGCACAGAATACAATTGGAAGCTCGTAAATGCATTGATGCATGCATGTAAATAGCGTTTAAAACCATACGTGAGGTATTTCGCCATTTCTTCTTTCAGCACTTTCATCTAGAATACCATTCATGAAAGTTAGAACATATTGAGTAGAAGCATTCTGCAAAATTAGACGCAGGGGAAAAAAAAAATCAGCGATGCATTAAGCAGGAAAGAATGTGAATCAGAAACATTTGATTCCTCATCCGAAAATAAAAAAGAAAAAATTCTGATTGCAAGAGGAAGAAAGGTCTTGCCTCTATACTGTTCGATTTCATTATCTCTGAAACTTTTGAGGAAGGCATATCTACAAAGCTTCCATTTTTCGGTTGAAACATTTCATGGAACTTATGCCCTGCGCTATGCGTTTCATGGAGTTTATGCACAACATGCTGTGGTAGTGGCCCTGACGACTCTGGCATGGGGTAAAAGCAATTGCCAATACCTTTAAGACAAAAACCAGCAGGTCATTAGTTAAGTGAACCAAAGGTGGTAAGTCTCAGTTTAGGTCGTATAAAAAATGTGCTCGACATAAGAAAAGAGTCTTCTTTCCTTTCTCTTTTCTTCCATTTTGAACATAAAGCCTGGTTTATCTAAATATACATGGTCCATACACCATGCCAACGCATGCAAAGTTTGAAACACTAAAGTTTTGTTTTACACCCTCCAATATATGAGCTTTAAGTATAAGTTGAGGTGTTGGCAGATTGAAACTTTGACTAAATATGGCATACCTGCGCTACGTAATACACGTTGTAACTTTGACTTTGAGTCAGATGAAAACCTTTTATTCTCTTCTCCTGATGTTGGAGAACTACGAGATGCGTGTCCGCGGGAACCCTCTGATTTGAAACTAAGTACAGAAATATTATCATCTCCCGAAGAGCTATGTAAGCTTCTAAGTTTTAAAAGGCAGTCCACAACATGCTTTAAAGATCCCTAATGATAAAAGAGAATCCCATAATCAGAATCCATTCAAGCAGGTGGAACATGCACGAGAAAAGATGCATCAAACTAAAGTCTGCCACATACCTTCTCTAGTTCTGATGCATCAAACTGAGGCAGCCCTAGACCATCTATAGCTGCCAGAAACCTTTTGATATTTTCCGAGTTTGATGGGGAAGAGTGATCACCATCACTGACCTACAAGAAAGAATTGAGACTGAGCCAACATATCTAAAATTAATTTGATAGATCAAATTTCGAGGGATCAAAAGGGTCCATCACCACATTCACAGAGCCAGGCCATAGCTTGTTTAATATCTGACATAGAACTGTGCCGTCACTCAAGCATTCTCTTAAATCATCGTCCTTAATATTCTTTGGCAAGTTTAATGAGGGAAATAGACTGTTTAACCATTTAACCAAGATCACTCGATGTTTGGCTGAGAATTATTCAATCAAGATAAGCTTAATTAGATAATGATTAGACATGTAATATGCATACAAGCACTAGGCTGGTATGACCAATATCCGTACCTTCAATTTCACCATGACTGGATACTGAATGCCCAAAATTAGTTCCATTGGAAATGGCACTTAAATTGTCTATTTCTCTGAGGTCTACACTGCAACTGTCAGATTGTGTATTCATTCCTAGGTTCCTGGAGTGACACGAGACTTCAGATGATTATGGAGATATGCTTCCAAGAATTCTCATTTTATAACCCAGAGGGGAAAAATATCGAGAGATTGAATATATATCCCCCATCCATGCATGAACCATTATGTTTTACCTGGAAAGAAGGAAACCACCAGAAAAATTACACCTGATTCAGTGCATCCGTAGTTGCACCTGCATCAAATTAATAGATCTGGATCAAAGAAAACTAAAAGGAAAAGAATCTCAGGATATAAACATGTATGACGAGAATCGGGAAGGAAATAAGAGAAGCCATGGTATGCACATTTCAGAAGCTTGGAGTTGAAGGTTTCAAAAGCGTAAACCAACAGCAGCACGGTTCAAACATGGCTTCCATTCAACAGAAAGAAACAATGCAACATCATCTAGTGCAGACTTGAGCTGAAATTATACGTCTAATCCTAAAACCCACTGTGAAAAATTACAAATTGAATATAGCTAAGCTTCTTGTCATTTGGAGGTCTCAAAAGTTAAATTACCGAAAAAGCAACATGGAGGAGATCGAACAAAAGAAAACCCAGAAGTTGAAACTTAAAGAAGGGGAAAATTAAAAATCATGAATGTGAAGATACATACCAGACCAGGATACTTGCATCCTGATGACGATGCAGCTTGACGTGAACACTGAATCAATCTGGGCAGTCAGAGAAAAACGAGCATTGCAAGAAGAAAATCCCTGGCGTACAGGTGAGGTGTGGGAGGAAGATGGGTAGAGGGACAGAAAATGCCGATAAAATAGGAGTGCAATACTCTCTGCGTCACATTATTGTTGTAGCGCCATTGACACACCCCATCCTCACCAAATAAAACAAATTTGTGACTTTGATTTGGGTGGCATTCTCCTCCTGCTACGCACTTGACACCACGGCACGTGCATTTTATATGTGCACTACGTACTATTACTTCCGGTCTTAATTATAACATCTCGTTTATTGTCTATTAACGAGGTCTTATAATTAGACTTGAGGTAGTATTCCATTTCAATTTTTAACGTTAAATTTGATCATGTGATTCCTTCTAAATACTGCCACCCTTCCTCCCTAAATTTTCATATTTCTCTTATATTGATATCCATACTGATTTGAATATCTGTTATTTAGCAAACCATTTGAATATCTGTTTAACGATGACTTAGCAGTCTATCTGTTTAATGGTCAAAATTACGGAATATGAAAATTTGAAAAAAGAAAGATTTTTACTCTGCTGGTCTAATAATATAAGAGAACCAAGTATTTTATGTTTTTATGCTTTCTTATATCAAAATAAGAATGAAAAAAGAGAAGTTCAAAACAATCCTCAAACTATTCCTTAGATTAAGTTAAATGATATCAGAGTGTCTGATATGATCCATTAGAATTAAGAATATGATGGCCTATGAGTTGTGGAACTTAAATTGTCTTAACATATTAATTAAAAGATTTTATAATACTACATCCGGTCCTTAATATAAGACCCTGTTTGACTTTTATTTTGGTCCTAAATATATGACCCCAATCCACTTTGTCTCTCATATTTATATTTTTTTTCAAAGTAGCTCTTCTAATAATAATAGTTTTAGTCAAGACACTTGATTAGCAATGATATTTTAGGAAAGACAACACCCATTTAAGATAAATAACTAACTCAACTTACTTTCTTAATCTCCTCAAATTAGTCAACTGACTCTTGTAATTAGGATCGAAGGTACTATATACACACTCAATAAAATATAAAATCTACGTTAGTTCATATGGTGTGCCCATTCTTGAAAGTCCAAGTAATATAGAGAAAAATATGTGCAGTAAACATGCTTCAATCCGAGAAACTTTTTTTTTTTTTTTACAAGCTTATAATATTTCTTTTGCCAACACAACCGTATAAGATACGGAACATAAATGGAATTTATACTGTATTGAATTGTTTTTCCTCTTGGACAGATCAAAGGATGCAGATTCTTTGATTCACAGTATGGGTCGGTTTTTTTTTTTTTTTGGGACATTGAGTATGTGTTGGTATTAACACTGATGACGAGCACAGAAATCACCCATCAACGTTTATTTATCACAACATCAACCAATCACTACAATTTTAAATTTGTGACAGTTTTATATATTTATTTATTTATAACTGATTAAAATAGAAAGTGATGAGAAAGCTCACGAAGAAATAAATAATTTTAAAACTCTGTAGAGCTAAATTCCCAGTATACGTGAAAATCAAAGTTGTTTTAATTAGTTTATGAAAGTTAATTTTTTTCAATCAATTGCTCTGAAATATTTTCCAAAACGCACACTTTATAGTTGAGTTACAAAAAGCGGAAGGTCATGAGTTGGACTTGCTAATGACTACCTTTTTAATTGAAAAAATAGATTGATACAACTAGTACAGAGCTAGCTATCTACGCTGGTCAAAAAAAAAAAAAACAGAGCTAGCTATGTACTAACCTGGTATATCTACCTGCATCTAGTCAAATTGTACTACCCCCAAGTGAGCCCATAGCTATGTATAAATTGCGTTATTAATTAGTTCTTATATTTAAAAACAAAAATAATATTAAATATTAATTAATCTCCTATTTGAAAAACTGAAATGAAATCCCCGGACAAAAATGTAAGCTGCCGTGCAGGGATCCAGCTCTTGGCCGTGCTCGCATGGACAGAAGGGGAAGGGATGGTGAGCGAGAAAACCGGAGAAGTTTATTAGGGTGCTTAGCTATGTGAAAGGAGGGAACAAGTACGATCCAAAAATCAAAAACACACCCTCTTTCTCTCCGTATGGTGAGAGCAATTTTGAAAAATAAGTTATCTATACACATATATGAGATATCTAACCAATCTTAAAAAAGAAAAGGAGGAGGCAGAACATGATAAATTAATTTTGGGGGCAACCGACATAGAAATAATTTGGAAAGGTGCGCTGTTTGATTGGGGGGAGGATGATGGCCGGATGAGAATCCAAGGGCAGCAGAATGAATGTATAAAGATTTTTTTAGTAATTATTTTTTTTTTAAAAAAAAAAAAAAGATGCCAACGCGGAGGTGCGTATGGAGTTAGAAATGCGTGAAGGGGTAATGTACCGAAATGGCAGGGCGTGGACGGACAGGGTGGAAACACAGAGACAAAATCATAATAAAATAAAGGCGGGCGGAATGGAAGCGGAAGGCAGGAAGAAAAGAGAGAAAGGGGGCGTGTGCACTGTGCAGTCTCCACGGTTTTGGGATCTCAAAACCACAGGCTCTCTTCCAAGGGCGCCCACGGTTCCCATCTCAATACTGCTGCACCCTCTCTTCCTTTTTCCACATTACCCGGAAATCCCCCCCTCCCCCTTTCCCTCCCTCTCTTTACTCTTCCTATCTTCCCCCTTCCCTTTATTTCTTTTTTTTTTTAATAAAAATAATAACATCATCTTCTTTAGATTGTGATGCTACCCTGCTTTCATTTCTCTTATCCTACTAATTTCTCCGAAGATTTTTTTTGCTGTGTCATACTTTTTCTTAGATAAACATATTTCTTTTATTTTTTATAGCTCATTTGAATTATTTTTATGAAAATTAAGGATTATTTATAATTTATTAACTCTATTTAGAAATTTTAAACCAAATACCAATCGTGCTCTTATTAAACTCATTTTTTGTTTTTTTATTTCTTTGTTTAAGTCGACAATAAGAAAAGGAAGAATCCTAATAAAATCCGGCCTAAATGTCTAAATTCAAACTAAAGTCTACACTTTTCATAAATTTTCAATGAGGCCATGCGGACTCATTAAGGATTTCTGAATACTGCTAAATAATCAAAATATCCTTTTTAATTAGAAAAAAATTGATTATTTATCCCTTCCAAGTGAACTCTTACATCTTATAATTATTTTTTTAGACTAAAAAATACATAAATAATTTTTACTATGTTTAGAATTTGTATATATATTAATTAAATTTTTAAAAATATTTTAATCGAATACTTTAATTTACAATATAAGTACCCTTTAAATAAATATTTAGAAACAAAATTCTGTTTAAAACATATTTTTAATTGATATAAATAATATTTCACAGCAGAACAACATAAAGAAATATTTTTTATTTTCTGAATCGAAAGTTTAGTTAATAAAATTAACGTAAATTATGAGAATATAATATTAAATAGTTTATGTAATTAAAATATTTAAAATCTTAAAATAAATATCTACAAGCAGAAAAAAAATATTTATTTCAAGACTATTTATGTTGTCATTTAAAATGTTTTATTAAAATATTTTTAAAGCTTAGTTATACGTAGAAATTTTAAATGCTATAAAACCACTTATATTTTTTATGCTTAAAAATAATAATAAGAGATGAGAGATTATGTAGAAGAATAAAAATAATAATTTTTTCCATTAAAAAGAGACTTTTAGTCATTTGATAATATTTAGAAATCTTAAATTAAGCCTCATAATTTAATTATAAATTTATTAAAATTGTGGGTGTTAATTGAAATTTATATAGTATTTCAGTTGCGATTTTTTCATAACAAAATCCCAACTCGCAGCATCCCCAGAAGTTGTGTTTGATTTTTGTATTCATGAAAAGATTTTTTTTTATATTAAGACCAAATTATGCATACAGATATTGTACATCGTAATTTTTAAAGAAACATGTGACAGATGGCAAAGGCAAAATGAAAAAGAAACATGTGATTCAGTGTCCCCAGGAGGAGGAGAGGAGGAGGAGCCTAAAAACCAGATTTGGAAAACAGCCCGTTTTGTGGGAAACAACTGCGCTATCCAGTTTCTGTTTCTCTGTTGCAAACCCACGGCATGGCCTTCCCGCTATTTATAAACCTCCCCACCCTCTCTCACTTCTCCTACTTCCTTCCCTGCTCATTCCCATTTTCCCTCATTTTCTCGCCATTTTTCTCACCTCCCCGCCACGTTCCAACCACACGCCTCACCATGCGCCTCAGTTGCAATGGCTGCCGAGTGCTCCGTAAAGGTTGCACCGCTGATTGCCCCATTCGTCCCTGCCTCCTCTGGATTCCCTCTCCTAAATCCCAATCCAACGCCACCCTCTTCCTCGCCAAGTTCTACGGCCGCGCCGGCCTCATCAACCTCATCAATTCCGGAGCCCCCCACCTCCGACCAGGTAATTCGGCCTTCTACTTTTCTTTCTTTTCTTTTTTTCCTTGGAAGCGTCAGCGATAAATTTATTCAAGGTTCCCAAGTTCTAACCCTGCTTCTGTCTATCTTCTTCCAGCGATTTTTAAGTCCCTGCTCTACGAAGCCTGTGGGCGGATTGTGAATCCTATTTTCGGCTCAGCTGGGTTACTCTCTTCCGGAAGCTGGCATCTCTGTCAAGCCGCCGTTGAAGCTGTTCTCAGAGGCGAGCCGATCACGCAGGTTTCCCCCGAGTCGGCTTTTGATGGCGTGAGCCCGCTCCTGAAGTCGTGTGATATTCGACATGTGGGTAAAAAGGGAAATTCTTGCGCTTCTGATAAGCTCCACAAAGTGAGAAACGGGACCCAATTTAAACACTCCGGCGCGAAGAAGAAGAAGAAGCCGGAAGTGGAGCCGGTGCGCGAGGAGCTGATGGTTCATTCGGGGAGCGAGCTGGATGGTTCGGGGGTGAGCGAGCACAGAAGTGGAAGTCCTGGTGGTGACGCTGATAGCAGCACCGTGGAGACGGCGGAGAGATGGCCCGCATCGGCGAGGAGCGACGAGCGAAGCGAAGCTGAAGCCGAGGATGGGGGGTTAGAGCTGGAGCTGACCATGTGGTGGGGTCAACAAGCTAAGGGGATTAGGGATGTCAACGGTTCTGATGCTAGCACGTATAAGTTAACGATGGGCCCTGATCATTCTGGTTGAGAATATGATCAGCCGTTGCCAAGTCCGCGTACAAATGTAGACCGCCAAACAGGCCCCCGGGGAAAAAAAGAAGGAAGGAAAAAAAAAAAAAGAACAACAGAAATAGGGATGACACAGAGAATTCGGAATAGCGTTTTGTTGTAGATGAGTTTCAATTTTCTATAGAGATGGATGGGTATACATATTTTTTTTCCGACTAGAAATAAATCATTTTATCTCATCATCCCTCAGCTCTTGTTACGTGATGCTTTTGTTTGTTTTAATTTTACATTTCAAAAGAGAGTCGCAAGAAATATTGTCAATGAAACAATAGTTTCGTATGATACGCATTTTTACGATTAGGTTATTGTAGAATATTTTGAATAGAATATTATAAAAATATGATGCATGACATCCGAAATTGATACGAATATAAGGATATGGAAAAAGCTACAAACAAAGCTGCGGATTAAAATCTCATTTCATTAGTGATTTATAACCTTTTTTTTTTGTTTGGTGAAGACTTACTAGTAGCATGTATTTGGTAAATTTCTGTGTTAACATTAACCAGGAGCACAAATCAGATACACTTAGAGGCGAATCCTCCAAAATATAATGGTATAAGAAATTATATAAATACACTAGGAATTACTATTTGCGATCCTAATTATAAGATCTTATTTGTAAACTAATTATAAGGCCTTATTTATATTCTGATTCTATTTATAAAACCTTATTTATAAACTATAAACGAGTTCTTATAATTAGAATAGGAGGTAGTTTATGATTTGTGAGACCTACTTTGAAATGCTGGTATAAAAAAATTTGCAAGACCTACTTTAAAATGCTAGTACTCTTTCAGCCCTTAATATAAAATTTATTTAACTAATTTGATTACATTAAGAAAGTTAAGTTAGTTAATTATAAAAAATATAACATGTTTTTTTAAATATCATAATCATCTTCTTTAATATCCTCTCTCCTTCTTCTGCTTGATTATAGTTGAGGGAATATCCATAAGAGTAATTTAAAAAAATTAATAAATATAAAAAATAAATCTTATATTTAGAATCAAAATCAACTCAACAATTAAGTTCTACACCAAATATTGGAGCATAAAAAAGTTGCAGTAGTTTTTCTACCAAACAAAACATCTGGAATCAGGTACTGTACATATAGCTCTCGTGACGAGTCCAAATTCAAAGGTTTGGTACGAAGATTCAGAAGCAGTCAAATAAATTAGGATGGTTTAGATCCTTAAACGATGGGGCCAATAAATTCACATTTGCTAATCAATTCTTACATGATGCGGACACGGACTGTTCTTACAAGAGACATTGTGCATGTTGAAAAAATGCACGCCTTCTGTTAAAAACAAGTAATTGATTGTTGATAATTGATGTTCAAGATATGCAAAGTAAAAATAATTGGAATCTTTAATCCTATTTCTTTCCATTAGGTATGCTTTAAGTAAAGATGCCTTGTATTTGAAGCAGGGAGAATAGGCTTGTACAGTCATTTTACAATGATGACATCAAATTTTGTTTTATAATGATTAAATTACCTGGAGGTTGTAAATTCATAATTCTCATTTTTCCAAGTTAGTGTTAGGATATTTTCAGTTACTGCCATTGTTCTCCAGATGCGTTGGGACATTCCAAAAGACCACACTAACTATGGACCTATTTATAATGGCTTAAAAACAGTTTTTCAATCATAACATGTGAGAAAAATTTTATTTCGACTTACATGAAAGTATTTTTAAGCACTTATTAATCACAAATCAAACAAATCTTAATATAATAGTTGAACAGTCTAATAGTGTTGAAGAATGGTGAAAGATAGAATTACTTTCATAAAATACCTTCCACGCACTCTCACTCGTTTAATGAGATAACAGATACAGGAGATGAGTTTCTAGCTCAATGATCCATTTTAGTTCTTGAATACTTTTCTTTGCTGTAGCTCATAAATTTATTTTATTTTATTTCCTTAAAGCATAGGTATCTTCTTATTAGAGGCAATCTTATTCAAGACACTGCCCGGTACTAAATGTGGGTATCTCTTCCAGCGGGAATTCGAATCTTAATTCGTCACATCATGAGAAATTAGTTTTTTTTGCTAAAACCAATGCCATTGGTGGTCATAAATTTATTTTGACTCGATACATTTCCTGTGGAATTTTGTTTTCGCAGGTTAGAATAGCTTGAGCCCAGATACATTTGAATTGAAATTCAATCCAGACGAGAACGAAGACTGGCCCAACAACTCTAAGTCCACAAACTCAACTCTCTTTCCCCGACGCAAATAAAATTTAAAAAAAAACAAACAAACTCTTCTGGGTTTTCTGTGAGCTTTTTGGTCCTCGTTCTGGAATTTGAAGATGTTCAAGGGAATTCATATTTACTGTGCCCAATTTGATCCTTTAGTCTTTGACTTTCTCTTGATTTCACTTGTTCGATTAAGAAACGATGAGATGCAGCTAAAATTCTTGATCCCCAGTGATTAAGAAACTGTGAATTATCTTGCTTGTTTGAGCATTTTTCCCTCTCAATGATATACAAACCCGCCATCTGTTTGAAGTATTTACAGAACGAATGATTCCATGAAGCTCTCACTCACGAGTGGATCCGCGAGTATTCTCAGCTTAGATTTGGAAAACAAACATAATGGATTGCATTTTTCTCCTGCTGATATTTATGTGCCTATTTGTAGTTGAGGCAAATTAAGTTCTCTCCATACTATGCTATTACTTGTGCTAATGCCTTTTCCTCTGGAACTCTGTTATTTCGACACTATCCATTACAATCATTTAGATCATTGTCTTCTCAATATATTGAACTTGCAGTTTATTTGTGCAGTTTACTTGTGTTATGGATACAGTCGTCTACTGGACGTCCTTGGCAGTTCTTTGTGAATTTACTTTAACGATGTTATTGCCTATGGGCAAAAGCCAACAGAAAGAGAAGGCCCCTGAATCTCGCATCTTGTTGTTTACAAGATCTGGAAATATTCATGCTTAAGCAATAAAATAGGATCTGATCTTTTGTGTTTCTGATACAAATTACAGACAGGTTGGGGGAGAGGGGAGGACAGGAAAGGAGTCGAATGATTCCCCGAAGTCTCTCCTGACTGAAAGGAACTTAGCCTGCAAGTTACAGGTGCAAGGAACGGTGTGATCCTCTCTCTTCTGGATGCAGCCATGTGCAGTTACCACTGCAATTACTTCTACTACACAAAAGCTTGGAAAACTGAAAACAAGACAGGTAAGATAAAAAAGAAACTTGCAGTAGCGAAGAAGGATGAGAAGTAAACAGACCTGTTCAAAACTTCTGAAATGAAAAGAGACAGAAGAGGGTAACTAAGTCACTGTAAATGAGGTAAAATTAAAGAAGCCAGGAAAAACAAAAGAAAGATTAGAGAAGGAAGTGAAGCTAGCAAGAGGAGCTCCCTTCAGTCCAATGGGCGGGCTAAGCAGGCGGATGGGGTTGCCCCCATACCATGCAGTTGGCCAAACTTAACATTGTTTGTGATAAAGTTAAGAGTAACCGAATGCATGAGATGGCAGCTCTAGCCACCCCTCAGCCCTTCGTATTGGACAGAAAGGAGCTCCCTTTGACCTTTCTCTTCTGTGTCTATATACAGTTATGTACATGCATCTTCTCCTTCGTTCCTCTTAAGCTCGTTTGAGATGGACTATGTATAATGAAGCTGCTGTAAAAAGGTCCCTCCCTCCACCCTCCTTATATACAAATGGTCCCGCCCGGCTACCCTTTTTAAGCAATGTCAAGGGCCCCTTCGGGTACTGTTCTTTGTTATTAAGTGGGAGCCTTTGCCCTTTGTCTTCATCAATGCTTGTCCTTTATTCTATTCTATTCGTTTGATCCTGGCATTATCATTAACATCTTAATCAGTTATGACAGACAAACTATTCCTAATCCATCTTCCTTAATTAAAGTTCTCTTTTTTCTTTCAACGGGCCAGGTGATGGTTAAGGATTATCTCCTGTCATGAAGAGGATCTAGTATCTAGTATTAGAGGAATGCATGCTCCCCACTTAGGTAAATCCTAACTATTTCCCCCCTCTCCTTCTTCCTAAATTGGTTCTTAATTTACCTGTCAACTGAAAGAATTCTAACAGCAAGTAATGATGTGTAACTCAAAGAATCCTCAATCCTGAATAAATATCCAATGTCTTCTTTCAATTTCTTGTTATAATCAACTTGTCGATTTTTAAAACACTCGGAAAATAAAATCTTGAATGAAGACGTTCTTGCACTTGTTAAAAAGTGCTCTTTAATGCCTGCTGAAAAAAAATCATGAATTTGAATTTCATGCATGAAGAAACAAAAGACAACGCATTGGAATAATTATTCCTATTTGAGCCAGACAAGCCTTTCTATTGAATTCATTCTATTAATCCTATTAATCTCAAAAATTCAGTCAAAACATGTTGACCCAAAAAAATTGATATGTTTCACGCCCAAACAAAGTGCTTTAATGTTGAAACTTGAAACAGCATAGTCTTCAATCCCAGGCAATCTGAACACTGCTGCAACAGCACCAAAGAGGTGTTAGTTGAGGTCATGCAGACTGAAAAGAAACCTAGCTTCCCATGAGCTCATTTGTTCACTGTGAAAAACCATTGTCCCTTTCTTTTGGCTTTCTCTACATTGCAGTTATCTTTTCTTTCTCACCTTCAATTATAAAACGACAAGCAAAGAGTTAAATGACCAGCATGCCCATTCCCATGTTCGTCATCCATTATTAACTGGTGTTCAAAGTAAGGATCCTGTACCCAAACCAGAAACCTGCAATGACTCTTCCTCAAGTAATAAAAGCCTTTCCATCCAATTCCAAAGCTAAGGAACAGTGGATTTGACAAGACCATGTGTTCTTTGTGACTTTACTATGTTGTTGGATTCCGGGGAACAACTACAGTATTGAAGGTGTGTGAATTCTGATTCCCACTCAGCTATAAGGAAACTTTCTTTCTCAGAGATAGTCCTGCATTTTCTTTCTTCCTAACGTGTAGATTTGGTTTTGGTTCCTTTTATTTTATAGCGGAGTTAATGAATATTCAATGACCTATTCAGAATGCACAGCTGAGAGCTTAATTCTTATTTCTCAACCTCCTTTGGAGTTTAGCTGGAAATGATAACTACTTTTGGATGACACAGACAGGTAAACAGATTCTTACCACAAGAGATTGGTAAAGAAGCAGATAAGAGCAGTATCTCCCTCAAAACTCATGCCATGATGAATAAAAACTTGTTCGAAGATTACAAATAACTCACGGGTTGGTAGATAATTTATTCTGTGTTTTATCTCTAATAAATAACTATGTTTGAGTAGTTATCGTTAGTCGTTATTGTGACGTGCTGATAAATTGACTTGTAATGAACATTGTATTCTTCTTTCTTTTTCTTTTTCCCTTAAGAGCCAGATTGATAATTACATCAATCGTTTATCCATCAAATATAAGGAATATGCGATTATTCCTTAAAGCCAATCACTCTCATTAATCATTCCTTATTTCGTCCGGGGAAAAATCATTCCTTAAAGAAATGGGTCATTGAATTGTGTTTTTTTTTTTCCGCATATCAAGTAATAAAGTAATAGAAACAAATACAACAGAGGTGCCAGACTCCCAGCAAATGTATTTTTCTCAAATATTTATTATTCTTGTACAGTACCAAAAATTTGATACACAGTATTGCTTATTCATATTTTAACAAATTTTTTTATTTGAAAATTAAAAATCAGAGCGACGTGAAAATAGCTTAAGGGAGTATTCGAGTAGAAACTAAATTATGATTTTAAAAGTAATCTTATAGTCTATGAAATAAGTATATGAGAAAAGTTTTATCTCAATTTATGTCAAAGTGTTTTTTTCAAAGCCAGCTTTCATGTCTAGGATGGGAGGGTGTATAAGATGAAAAATGGAGTACACTCTTTTTGCCAACAATAAAATGGAGTACTTACTCAAAAATAAATTTAATTTGCACGACAACGTATCAGTATTTGAATTCATTGTATAGCAACGTTCACATGTTTTTTTTCACATAGGTATCTTTTTTATCTTATTTAAAATACTGTCAGCCATAAAATACGAGTATTTCTTTCATCACTTAAAGATTTGCTGCGAGCGAGCTCGGGGAAAGCATTTTATGGTTTTAGGCTCACACTGACTTTTAAAATTTTCCGCCCACTATTATGGGTCAAGCCCAGGCTCGACTTAGTTAGTTTGACCCACATATGTCTTCCTTGGGATTTCCTTGGTGGCCCAAGGCGGATTTTAATGATATGATGTGTAATTTTGACAACTGGGATGGGAGATTAACAGCGTTAGGTTGGAATGGGCAAAATTAATAATGTTTAAGGCAACATTAAAAAATGAACATGCAAGCTAACAAAAATTGATTCAATTAGTAAGAAGTCGATTCATAACCCATATGATTATAAGTTCAAATCTCATTGTTGATGTGAAAACTTTATTGATAGAAGATCTGTGATTACTTTTCTAAATGTTCTTTGAGTCTAAAAGCATGCCGTAATCCTCATGAGTCTTGAAACTTAACTCATCTAAATTTTTTTGTAGAAAAAAACACGCAAATAAAATAGAAGTCTTCTTTATTATTGAATGCACAATCCTAAGAAGCGGATTATAATTTAGATTTTAAATAAGTTGTAGAAAAACACAACTTAAAAAAATTTAGTTGATGTTTCAAATTTTAAAAAAAAAATGGAAAGAGAAGATCTTATGATTTAAATATTTTGAATATAAAATGAATGATGTTGGAAGGGGGTTGATGGATGGGATGGACCCAGGTGACATGGACATGACATAGGGCTTTCAAAGTGCAGAGAGGGACGGGGAAAGTCAATTGGTGTTGGATTGGACCACCTTGGCCTTCGCCCTTGTGACGTGGCATTATAGAAAATGCCATTTCCCTAAAGACGACGATCCTTTGCCATACCTCTTCCCATTACTTAAAAGACACTAGTTTGTTTTTTTGTTTCGTACGATAAATAAAATAAAATTTTATATTTCTCAACCACCAGGGGAGAATAAATAAGGGTTTGGATTTTACTATAGTAGAAGCTTTAGTTTAAATTTAGTCGCACTCAAATATAGTACTCCTCCAATTATTAATATAAGACCCGACCATGTAACTAATTTAATTAGATTAAGAAAATTAGGTAAGTTAGTTAATTATAAGAAAAGTGACACATTTTTCCTAAAACACCATAATCATCTTACCCTCTTCTATTTGATTATGGTTGAGAGAGTATCTATAGAGGTAATTTAGAGAAAATTGATAAATATGAGAAATGGGTCTTATATTTAGGATCAAAACCAACTTAAAAATTGGATCCTATATTAAGAACCGGAGGAGTATTTGAATTCTAATGGTAAATTTTTAATGAAGTGTGTTTTTACTTTGATTAATTGCTCAAATATATAAATTTATTAATATGGGTTAAATTGTAATAATATTTAAAGTTTAAACCACTGCGAGCCGCGAATTTGTTAAAAACCTTTTATTTGATCTTTTGTACGTAATTAATGACAATTAAGAATGTGCTAGCTAGCTGCTTGGAGAAAGCGTAGCTTCTGACGACCAAACACGCCCTAAATAAGTCTTTTTTTTTTTCTCTTTTTGGTCCAAAAGCCCTAAATAAGCCTTATATGCGAACTTTCAGTCATGTTTCGAAGTTATGTAATGCATTAAATTAAGGCCGTTGGATCACTCCAACCCGAGATCTGACCACACAGCACATATAGTTGCTGCTTGATTCTCCACATATTTAGTGGTAATTAAGGTTAGTCACAATAAACGATTAGTGAGAGAACGTAGTCTTTTGAGCACAGGTTGGGTATTTAATTTGTTAATAGATATATTGAATGTTTAATAGTTAGTTCTAAAAACTCATATGACTGCTAATGGTCTTGCAATCTAAGGACATGAAAATTTTCATATAAGTTTGAAGTCATAGATTCAATCCCGCTTATAATCCCTAATCAAATTGTCAGTGTTTATCCCTCTAACTAGTTTTTTTATAAAAAAAATTATATGTCTGCCTCTTTATCATTAGGTCTAATCCAGCTCTTACCATTTTCAGTTTTTCTTTCCCTCTCTTTTCTTTTTCCAATTTACAATAGAGTTGATTGATGAATATTCTGTGCTGCAATCATCCTTTTCTTCTATTTTTCCTTCATCTTCTCCTTTTGTACTGGAAATTAAATTTGAATTGGGAATTGAAGTTGAACAACCTGATATACATCAAACATCATTAATTGTCAAGAAATATAAAATTAGGAAATAACAGACCTCTGCACACTGATGAACATAATTAAGTTTCAGAACACTTCCATCAACAAAACCGTACCCTTCCTAAATTTGATTATGCCCAACTCTTCGTTAATTAGTACTACTAACGACTCCTGCTATATATATAGACAGTCGGTACACATATACATATCCGGCATACAATTAAAGAAACCTTAGTGATGTTGTTATTATTATTATACAGGGTTACGCATGTATATATATATATAGCTGAACCATCCAGATTTGCCATAAAAAGAAACTTGGATTTGAAGTGGTTCATGTCAGTGAGAAGCAGTAGGCAAAGCAGTGGTTCCAACGAAGGACGTCCTCTTTACAAATCGACCCTTCATTCTTGGTCTTTTTTCTGCGTTCAGTTTCCTCACTTCGTACCTTATCTTCTTCGCAAATAAACGTGTTCTCCTCTTCTCTCTGTACCTCGATACTCTTGCTTCTCTTCCTCCATCTACATGGCCCCTTAAGCTCCCAAATTCCCCATAACAGCACTGATGAACATCTCCGCTCGAACCCTGAAAAGTTCAAAATTAGTTGCTTTGAAAATAAACGTTTTGGACTGGTATATATTTTACCACATCATCACGTGGTGGATGCCTACCACCTCAAGCCTTTCCGTTCAATACAGCTCAACTCTACCATTGAGACAAATTTATAAATTTATAGCGATTCTAAAGATTATATATCTGTAACTGATGGTGTAGCTTTGTGAATGCAACAGTACTTGCAAGTTGAGAGAGAAGATCGGTATGTCATCAATTAATGCAGTATTAATTTGCGGATGCCCGGCCGGAACAAATTAAAGATCGATCAGCAGCAAGAATTGAGCTCAAGACCCATTGGCCAATACAGCTCAACGTTACTGATAGGATCTAATTGACTTTGATGGGATTCTAATGAATATATATATATAGTGATCAGAATGAAATTGTACTGGTAGTTGAGAGAGGAGGTGTATACCAAGCAGTGTAGCCAGCAGTCAGTAGAGTTGAACTGAGGTGGGTTTCCTGTTGTCCACGGACAACCTTGACTTGCCCAAGCACTAATGACATCCTCGTAGTTTAGCCTCAAAAATATCTTTGTCTTCGTCTCCTCCGTCTTTTCCTCTTCTGGTGATGATGATCCCTGATGAATTGTCTGTGTTGCGTTCCAATTTAAGGCCTTACTTGTCATGCCTACAACCATGTTAGCTTCCACTACTTGTTCATCCTTAATCTTTACCATAGTATTTTTTTTGTCCGATGATGACCCCACAGTACCCTCCACTGCTTCCATCATTTCTTCTTGTTTACAGTCCAATAGTTCTGCTCCTGCAGATTCATCAAGCCCACTTTCCAGTAGGCTTTCAACATCAGCAGCAAAGTCTGCAAGATCCATATCCGAGGCAAGAAATTCCGAGAAATTGTCCAAGTCACATGTTCCTTCATCATCCCCACCATTCACATCATCTTTCTTCATCACAACGTCCAACCTCTCATCCCCAACTTCACTGTAAATATTGCAAAGCTCATCTTCAAACGGATCAAACTCCGGAACCCGGCAAAGCAACTGCTCCTCACTCTCCTCCAGCCCACCTTCTTCGCTTCCAAGCTCCGGCACGACGGGAAGAGTACTATTAAAAATCGCTTCCTCTTCCTCCTCCTCCTCCTGTTCATGCTTGGATTTTTGCTGAGCCGATGATAACTGCTTGCTATTATGACGCGGGGTTCTTGCCTTGCGCGTGAATCCACTATACCATACTTGCGATGTAGCCTTCTTGGAGGACGATGCAGTTTGAAGACGAACCCTTTCATGTCTGCTGGCTAACTGATTGGCGGAGTGAACCAGATTGTCACAGCCGTGGCATAAGAAAGCGTCATCGGCTGCGCAAAACCAGCGAGCTCGCCGGCGAAGGCAGCTATCGCAAGCTCTTGCAGTCTTAGCTCCCAATGCATTGGCTGCTTTCATCTTCTTCTGGGCGTTCAAGTGACCTAATGGGTATGTGTCTGCTAAAAGTATGTATCTATGGACCCAAAATGGCTCAATTATTGTGCCTGTATGTTGAGACTTGGGAGTGCGTGGGGGCGATGGGGCACTTAATTACTCACTAGATAGGGCAAGGCACGCCCATGCACTTTTGGTAATTTTTTGGGATTCAAAAAAATAAAATCGGAAGGAAGGAATCATGTGGGACCCACGATGCAGGGCTATCTCAGTGCTGATTGGTGGAGGATCTGATGTTCATCTTATTGTGAGGATTCTGATTGGGTTATATCGCTAATTAGAGGATTCCCAAGGGGCTTATGGACCCAGGTGGTGAAGTGTCTGTTTGCGAGAGGGTGTTAATATCTGAGAAAGACACTTTTGTTATGTTGTTTCTCTGCAAACTTCCATTATTCCTTGTAGAAACTTTATCATTTTCTCGTTTTCATGGTCCCCTCTTAGGGTTGCTTTCATTTCACCTGTGGTTGCCCTCAATCCCTCTCTCTCTTCTCTTTTGTCATAGTGCATTTTCCACCATTAGAAGCAGTGGCAGTGCCACAATAATAATGTTAATACTAACCATAAAAAGATTATATATATATATATATATATATATGCAATCTGGATGGTTTAGTGGCTAGAGCTTCGTCTTTGGAATTCGTTTCTACTGTCGGGGTCTCAGAGAAATCTGAACCATAAAGTCTAAGGGAAGGTCCTCGCGTTTGTTTCTATTATTAACTGTTTATTTTACCCCATCACTTTGGCCTTTTCCTTTTATCTTTCGTTACGTTGATGGCTCAAATTTTTCAGCACCGAAATCAAAATCTAGCGAGTCAATCGTCTCGGCAAATTATCTTTCTTTCTTTTTTCCCCTTTTTGTGGGCTTCTTAATTAATCATTGATCAAGCGTCAAGTTCAAGTAACCCTACCATCAACTAGTTATATTATACTACCTCCGGTTTCTAATACAAGGGTTAGTTTGACTTTCAATTTGATCGTAAACATAAAATCATAATTCATTTTGTCTTCTATATTTATTCATCATTTTTTTCAAAATAATCCTTATAGTAGTTGCACATGTTAAAAGTTCTATCAAATGATAATTTTAGCCAATACATATGATTAGTAAGAGTATTTTAGAAAACACAACACGTATTTATTACAATAACTAATTTAACAAAATTCTTTAATCTACTCAAATTAATCAACTAGCTCTAATGTTAAGAACCAAAAGCATAATATCATAATCAACACATTAAGAATATACACCTCTTTAATTTCTTTTAATTTGGTTTTAATTGACCAAACCGGCCAGGAGATTAGTGAGAAAGAAGCTGATATGTATCTACAAATCGTATGTGTAATTGTAAATCAGATAGGACATTGTAGAAATGAGTCCAAAGAAGAGCCATCACCACAAAATTTGTATAAATACCAATACCACAAACTGCTTTAATTATATGAGGCCAAAGGGGTGCCCTTTATGTTTATTTCGTCCTTCAGCACCATTCCACAACTTTGCTTTCATTCAATTCTCTGTCACGGGTCTCTCTCTCATGCAAATTAACAGCAGAATAAAAAAATATACTACTTCATATCATTAATATAAGATCTACTTAACTAATTTTGATAGATTATGAAAACTAATTAAATTAGTTATTTGTTAAAATTTTGCGTTAACTTTCATAAAATATCCTCTTAATTTATTTGCATTGAATTTACTACTTGATGCAAACTCACATTAGAACAGTTTAAAAAATAATAAATATGAAGAATAAAATGAATTAAGTTCTTCTATCTAATACTAAGTTCAACTTCTAACTAGTTGTTATATTGGGAACTAGAAGTAGCACATGGTGTGAATCTCCTCATCTTATAGTTGAAGAAAAAACAGTTATTTGGAGTAAAATTTCACTGGATGATGATGGGTTAACTTGGACAATTCAATTCTATTGAAAATGAAAATAATTTCTATGGTTTAACAAAAGAAGAAACATTAAAAAAAAAAACTCATCAAAGTTGATTCTGTCAAAAACAATAATAAAGAAAATGTCAAAAGAGGAGAGGAAATAGACTGAGGAAAGACGTCAAAAAATCAGGAAGATTTTATACATATCTTCCAATATATAACTAAAAGAGCTGGGGGAAGAAGTCTTAGCACAAGGTCAATATGGCGGTGGTGGCGGTGACGATATGATATTATAAAATCTTGAGAACTGATGGAACGGTGGGAGGAGGAGAGGAAGATAAGTGGTGACACATGTTGGGTTGCAGCAATCTGATGGTATGTTACATCAGATTTGATAGCAGAAGGATATGTTATGGCAAGTTAGGGCATGACACCTGTTCCCTCACCTTTCAACTGTCACTTGAATCTTACTCATTACTCAGATATTTTTGCTTCAATTGGATCAACAACATCATTTCAAATCTACATTTTTATGTTCTTCCAATATGGGAATTTTATCTGGTAAGCTCCTTAAAAAAACAAATTTTAAATTCAGAATTATTATTTTGTTTTGTAGATAAGCTTGAAATTGATCTCATGTGAAAACCTCTCTCATAATGTGCGGGAGGATAAAGATCCAAATCTCTTGTGAGGCGAGCCTGTGCCTGTAAGTTTGATGTTCTTTTCAGAACCAAGGATTAATTGATTCTCACTAATTTTTTATATAATATCCAGAATTTAAATTTGAATTATCAAATTTTAGAACATATTACCTCCTATCTAAAAGAGTTTTATTTTAATTATAAGCATAATACCTCAATCTACTTTATTTTTTAAATTTATAATTTTTTTAAAAATATTTCTATAAATCGCATAGAGTAAGGAGGTTTCCATTAATGATAGTTATAACGCATATAAATAGAAATAGCATTTTTGGGTACTATCACATATTTATTACAAATAATTAATTTAACTTATTTTTTTAATATTCATAAATTAATTATTTAACTCTTGTATTATATAATAAGGACAGAATAAAGTATTTATTGTGTTGTATTCTTGTTCATCCTTATAAAAATTATAACTAAAAAAACAAATATAGCCGCTATGAACCGTGGCAATTTATATTTTACTACCTTCAATCCTTAATATAAGAATTTTAATTTTTAATATAAAAGTTAGTTGATTAATTTAAGTAAATTAAAAAAAATTATTAATTTAGTTATTTATCAAAAATAAGTATTGTCTTTTCTAAAATATTCTTACTGATCATATATATCAACTAGAAATACCATTTGATAGGATTTTTAATATGTACAATTATAACAATAAGTATTTTAAAAGAAATGAATAAATAAGAGACATAAAATAGATTAAAATCTTATATTTAGAATTAAATTAAAAGTTAAATTAATTCTTGTATTAAGAAGAAAAGATAATATATAGATTTCAACGATTCCAAGACCAACCGCGGTGCAGTTGTCTGATCTTGACAAGCGCTACAGTTAGAATCACCACAATTTACGCTTTTTTAATGCTGACAATCATATTCCATCTTCTTTTCTTGTAGTGTTTTCATTTAGAACCGTGTTTTTTTTTGGGGGGGGGGGTGGAGGTGGAGACACACCTATGAGCTCACAAAGCCCAACCTCACATTGTGATCAGAGTAAAGCCCTATGAACGGCATCTCCAATGTAAAATAAAGTTTACGAGCCCAGCCCAGATATAGGAAGCCCACTGGGACCGTGCTCACCCATTTTCCCACATTATTTAAGAAACAAATGAATGTCCCAAACACCCGAAACTGAGCCTGATAAAATGAGCTAATTTCTCATAATGCTGTGAACTAATTTTTAAGTTTTTATTGAGAAAGGCGTTTATATTTAGTATCAACAGTATCTCAAATAGGACTGCCTTCAATAAAATGATATATTTGTGTTGAAAAAAAAAAAGGGATGTCTTGTATAAGAAAAGATTCTACGACCAGGCGCTTTAAGCAGGGGAAATCAATTACTTGGAACTAAGCAAGGATGATTTCCAATGCTATTTAAGAAGATCCCATAAAGCCAACAAAGGTTCATTTTGTGAACCCCATAAACTCCCGTTATAAAAGGTGACACATTTAGTGCCTAATTGGTTCTTGTTTGCCAACATACACATATAAATATGGGTATTATTGCATGGTGGAGTGGGGCCACTGATTCATTCACGTATGCTCAGCTGATCACAATTTGACGCGGCGTATGAGTTGGGGATTATAAAAGGTATTCCTATTTCTATGAATTAATAAAAGTTGACCAAAAACGCAAAGAAAGAAATTAAAAGAAATGGAGACGTCTCGTTCTCATCTCATCAACTCCCACTTCCTCTTTCTCCCAATTGCTCTTTTCCCAGAGGGTTCCCAATTTATAATATAAAGACGTCATTACGGGGATTGTTTTTTTTTTTTTGGTCAAAGGGGATTGTTAAAATTAAGCAGCGTTACGTTGAGCGTTAATACAAGTATGAGACGACTGAGCCATTTGGGATTTTTGAGAACTCTTTTAATAGCCAACAAAGACTTTTGAGAACTCTTTTTTATTCCTATTTATAAGATATAAATAAGATTTATTTAAATTATTCGTTGAGAATTTCGACTCATTATTCATTTGAAACAAGAGAGGTAATCTCTCGTTATCAAGCCATTTGTCCATTTCTTGGAATTTTTATTATGGGAGGGTGTTTTTGAAAACAAAAGTTATATCTACGACATATTTGTAATTTGGAGCTAATCTTACCTTTCCCTTCCTTGGTTTTAATGAAGTGGATATTTTTTCCTTATGCATGAAAAGTACTCAGGAAAATAAGCATAAATTCACCTGCAATGACCTGTAAATACGAAATAGAAGACTTTCCCCCCCCCCCCAAATAATACCCTTGCTTTGATCAAACTGATTCATAATTACTAATAAAATTATATCTCTCCTCTCTCATAAAGACGTAATTAAAAGAAATTAAAGAAGCACTTTAGACAAAGAATAATTGCTACCTTTGGTATTTAATATAAAAATTAAATGACTAATTTTGAGAGATTAAGAAAAATTAGTTAAATTGATTATAAGGGGAATGACAAAAAAAAATAAAAAATTACTAAATCCCAAATCAAGTTTGATAATAATACGTTATTTAGTGTTG